CGGATGCGAATATGGCGCTGGATGAGTGGTTGGGGGTTAATAGGCTGCGGATGTGGACGGTGGATTTGGCGGCGTGGGTGGCGTGTGTGGTTGCGGTGACGAGGACGCTGGAGGCTTGAGGCGGGGCCAGGGGGAGGGTCATGGGTTGATGCCCTTCTCCGTGCAACACAGCTTGAGACCGTCGATTTCTCGTGGCCCTGCTTAAAGAGGGTGTGAAGAAGAGGCCCCCTTTAGAATCAGCGGCGTTGCTTAGTAGCTATTAGTGATATTAAAGCGGTTGTAGAGGGCGAAGCGTTGCTGGGAAAGTGATAACTAATACGGAGTTGTAAACAAAACTGGACGGGTCCATAAACTGACATCAGTTCGTAAGGTTGTGCTGTACCCGGATAGTTACAATTGTAGGCGAGGTCACGGCGGCGAAATTCATCCCCCGAACACACTCAAGCCTCATCGTCCGCCATAGCCCATTCATCCTCCTCCGCGCTCTCCTCCCCATCCTCACCCTGCGCCGCTCCCAACGACCCAACATGCAGGTGCACATTACCTCCCCACTCCGCCGGCCGCGCGGCAAAGAAGTGATGATCCTCCCTCAACGGCCGTCCCTGACAAACATACCCGACGGGCGTATGGGTGACGTTCTGACCCTTGCGGCGCAATGCCAGCCATTCGAGGAGAAAAGCCGCGGGGCTCGCCGAGAAAGCGGGCTCCTCAGCACCAGAACGCTCCATGTAGCGGCGCAGGGCGGTGCAGTCGGGAAAGTCGGCGTACATCCGGCCGGCGAAGATGCCGAGTTCTATCGAAAGCCAGGTGGGGACTTGGTGGTCTGGGGGGAGGGGGTGGAAGGGCGTGGAAGGTCAAGCGGTCGAAGTGGGACATGTCGCGGGTGAGGGGCGCCATGTAGGTGATGAGATGTACTTTGGGACTTTGTTGGCCCTTTGTCCTGTTGCGGATCATGGGGATCAGGAGCTCGGCCTCCTCGGGCACTACAATGAGCGCCACTTGGTCGGTCGGGTTCCAGAGAATCCACTGGACGGGCCGCTACCGAAGGTTTAGTATCGGGGGTGATTTATCAACCATACGCATGACGACATACCAGGAAGTTATCGATTTCGGAACGGCCTTGAAGTTCAATAGTCCGCATATACTCGGTTGAGACGAAGAGTCGCGAGCCTGTTGGCTTGACACCATGCTTCTTGGCCAGTGCTCGTGTTCGCCATTGCCGCAAATGCGTGTTTGCGGCCTTTTTTACCCTTGAGTTCACCTGTTTCAACAAACTGGCGGATCCGTTTGTGAAGACCGGGGAACGAGAGAGCTTTATAGCTAGGTCGGTTCTGCCTTTGTTGCACATGTTCGGCTTGGAACCTCTCAACCTGGCGTTCCTGCTCGACCTCCTCGAAAGCCGCATCTTGGCCCCCCGGCCCCACCCCTCCGTCACCCATGCCCTGCTGCCAATCCAGCTCTCTCATGAATTCGCTCAGCTTGCCGGAGGAGAGTGGCTCTGCCGTCGGTTGTGAAGCGCGGCCTGTCTTGGTGCCATACATCTCTGGAAGAGTCTGCCGCTCGGGTCGGCGGATGGAATCTAGCAACGCGCTGCGCTGGGTTGCGTCTGTGAGAAAGTCGGCATGAAGAAGCTGGGAATTGACACGGCGGCAAAAGTCGTAACCCTGCGCGAGATAGAGATCCCGCAGTTGGTCGTTGACGCGACAAGTCTGTTCTAATAGCCCAAGAAATGACATGGGATGAGTCGATGGGTCGGTGACTCTGCACTCCGCAGACATCGAGGATGCTCTGATGCACTTCGAGAGAGGCGAAAAAGACGACGGCTGCGTGCTCCCAAGTTCCCGGAGCCGCATGGCCGCTTGTGTGTTTTGTCAGCACTGAGCCAGGGGGTAACTGGGGATGATAGCAGAAATAGGCCAAGGGCTGCAAACTCACCTTGAACAGTATGGTCCTTGGTCTGGCCGAGAGCCAAGGTAAGGGCTCCGCGAGCATATTGGGGCAGTTTCAGGTCTACACCCCTCGTGTGAGCTTCGTCGAGATAAACCAAGCAATTATCCAGGCTTTCGGCGAACGGTGTGGCAACCAGAGGGGCCTTCTTGTTACTCCGATACTGCACCCAAGCGCGGCTATCAGCGCCAAAGTAGACGGCCGCTTGTGCCCGGGTGTCCTTGGCCAGCCATGTTTTGACGAGGGTTTCGTTATCTTGCTCAAGCACGTAGGCGCCGGCGTCGATCAACACTCGGATCCCTTTGCGGGAGAGTTCTTCCAGCAGCCCCTCCTCCTTGTTCATGCGCCACGGCGCGCGGTAGTACTCTCGATTCCGAGGCTGAAGGAGGTAAGTGAGCACTTCGGCGTTCGTTTGGTGTAGACTGGGTAGGTCGTCCTGCTTGATTGTTAACGGAAGCAGCATTCTGTTGTCGTTTGTCCCACTGAATCCTGTCGAGATCGCACGAGAAGGCACAGTGGGGTCCGAGGACATGGGTAACAGAGGGAGATCCCACCCCGACGCCTGGATCTTGACCTCAAATTGCCGCGCGTGGGCTGGGAAGACAAAGGTGTTCATGTAGTGGTCCAACACGTTCCTGTTGAAGCGGAGCCTGCTCCAGAGCTCATCGAATTGTTGCTGGTGATCAAGGTTGATGGCATTCCAGTGACTCAGATGCTCTGGCAAGGAACTGAAGCCCTGAGTCCACCTGTCATACTCGGCTGCTGGGTCGCCAGAGCCCAGGACATGTTGCAGTCCCTCACGGAACTGGGTAGGGTTGAGTCCCGAATAGTAGAAAGACAGGCAGGTCAGTAGGAGGGCTACGTCGGGATGACCGAATTCCGACTGTTCTGACGGCACTCCCTTGGCCTCGAATGGAACAGCGACGGGGGATCTCCCTGGGTGGAAGCCGTACTGCACATTCCATCGCTTCTTCAGGCAGAGCAAGAGGATGCGGTTCTCCAAAAGCCCGCGCACTAAGAGGATGTTGTCAGACGCTATTTTTTGGTTGGGGAAGTGACTTGCAAATTCCTCTACCAACTTCGAGTCGATTCCTTTGTCGCGGGTCAGGATCTGCTCGACCAGGGAACAGGGGAATGGTCGCTCCGGGTTTGCGAGGGCAAGCACAGCGGTCCTCCCGCTGCTGATGTCTTTTGCAACGCGGCTGTTCAACTCATCCTCGGCCTCATTCTGTAGAAAGTGTGCCACAGGAAAGCCGCCCAGCCTTTCGGAAAGCTCGAGGCCTCGTGGGAAGTCGTTCTGGATCCCTGGGAGGTGGTCCTCAACGAGCGACAAGATGGCTTGTATAGTTACCCATCGATAGGGGTGTCCATCCAATGGCAGCTGTGGTCCGCTCGGATAGACTAGCTGTGTTCTGACGGCCAGGGTAAAGTCGGACTCATCGAGGACATCCCGGCAGGTCTCGGATAGCCGGGACTGATAACCTATCATGTCCCGAGCCTCATCGAGACGCATGTCGGCCAGCCGCTGCAAACCGCCGAGCTTGTAAGATAGGATATGCTCCGGGGTGGTTATCATGATGCCACGACGCTGTCTAGCCTGCTCGTGGAGTTCCGAGTACAACGGAATCATCGTAGGTGCTTCTTCGCCCGTCGGGGTCCGGCGGGAGAAAGGCAAATGCGTGATATCGCGGCCAACCAGCCCACCAAGCCGGGTTTGCATAATCTGCGCCGTCTGGGAGAGCAAGGCCTTCGGCACAACCAGGCGCGCCAGCTGATTCCCGTCTGCTAAGACTGACATGGCCATGGGGACGATGCAGGAGGTCTTACCGCTCCCCATGTTCATCTGAAGTACCGAGCTGGATTTGGAAGCTGGGGCGATGATAGCGCGCGCCACTTCCACTTGCTCCGGCCGGATGAGAATGTTGCCTTCGATCTCGAGAAGAAACCAGTCTGGAAATTCCAAGGGATTCCACTCCGTGTGGCCGATATTCTTCCATTCCTTCTTCGCCTTGGAGATGTCTCCTCGCAACAAGGCCGAGTTGATCCGCTGGAGCCGCTGGAACCGCGTTACGCTTAGCCCGTACGACACCAGCAACTCTCTTGCAGCCTGACTCAAGCCACCCTTGTTACTGGATCGTAAAAGTTCAAGGATCGCGATCGGACTATTCCAGACCCATAAATTGGCCAACTCCAGCCATCGGAAACGTGAGTCTCCGCTGGAAAAGACCGTAATCGCCGCGTTGAGCTGATCGTTCACGTTGGAGCGTGCATCCAGGATCTGAGCCTGAATAACTTGTATGTCTGGAACTTCGCTCTTTGCGTCTTCACGATTGGCAGTCGCTTCGAGCGCCGCGAGACTGTCCATGAGACTGTTACCGTACTCCTTCCGTGTGTTATCCTGGGAACGAACGAAGGGAGACAAAACGATGCGTAACACTTCGAGTTCCCCAGCCCTGTAATGAGCCATGCCAACCCCATTGTCATCATGGCGTCGAAAGCAGCCAATCTTGTTGTCCCGGTTATGTTGAGAGTCTTGAGCTGTTGCTTGGGGCCTCTGCCCCTGGGATGAACCATCGCCACGGCAAGCAAGTGAGGGGCGCAAAGGGAGGGGTATCGTGATGAAAGGGTCTCGAGCGAGCGAAGGCACTGGAGATCCGCCGCTCCGTAGAACAAAAAAAGGTACAACCGGGTGACACGGCGCCGGGGCAGATTTGCCCCGTTTGCATTGATACTTATTCAAGATGTCCTGGACCTTGTCGAGGTATTCCGAGAGCATCAAGTTTTGGTAAAGTCGCCGCCACTCAGGCAGGACCAAGTCGACAGCTTCTTGGATGTTGAGCTCCTCGGTTTCGAACCCCTCGACGGGTGGTTTGGGGCAAGGCCATTGTTGAAGGATGAAGGCGGCCAGACGAACAGCCTCTTCTTTACACCGGCGCAGGCGGTCAGCTTGAAATTCTTCAATGGTAGAAACGTACTCTCCACCAGCATGACCGAAAGCGGCGGGGAAGTCGGACTCTCTATAAGCATTCGATATTGTGGCCTCAAGGGAAGCCAATGCCGGTGCTTCACCGACCCAGAAGTCGGTAAACCAAGGATACCTGGGGGGCTCAAGAGCTGCTAGTTCGTCCAGACCGTAACAAGCAGCTAGGAAATGCAGAACGTCTCTCTTTTTGTCCGGGGCAAAGCACAGAAGGGCAAGCTTGAATATCGCCCCGTATGGGTTCTTGCGGTCAGCGTTGCGGAACTCGTCGACGAGGGTGCCCCAGTTTTCCGCAATTTTACCACTGACGAGGTCGGCGAGCGGGGGAACGGTGTTGCTCCCCCGAGTGTGGTGGAAGCCACCAAACTGCCTCCATTCTTGCAGGCTAGTTTTCAAGGGCCTCGCCATGTGGATGTTGCGTGTTTGATGGTGGAGAAGCCGGGTCAGTTGGTAGACATCAGTCGCAGCTGGCAACGTTGCATATCGGTCTCGAGCTTGATATATGGTGTCTTTCCGGGTTGAGATTATGCCCTCTGAAATGTTACGTTCGTATGAGAGGCGATAGGTTTCGGCACGGAGTCTGAGCCAGGAAGACGGGTCTGCCGGAGGGTTGAGCACCTCATTGTTGTTTTCCGCAAAAGCACGGAGCTGCTCCGACCTCTTTAGAATACTGCTAACCACTGAATCATAACTGTCATGTTGTATAGTCATGGTCAGTGCGGGATCCCATGTCACGATTTGCAGACACTGCTTGTCCGGTGGGTAGTAGTGTCGACCAGGGACCAGCCTCTGAATTGCCAGGAGGCTGGCGATGGCGCCACCGCCGATCGGTTGCCACGGTTGGCAACGACCCGATTTAAGCGTTCGAAGAGCTTCCTCAGTACCGGTCCGCCGGGTTAAGTCGTCGGGCAAGGGGAACGAAGTGAGGGCATGGAGAAGCGCCTTGGTGTACAACAGTCGGGGTTCGGGGGGGCAAGTCAGTTGTCCGAGGACCTCGTCGATGCCGAATTTGCCATAGTGGTCGGCACTGCTCGCACAGACACTGACATGTATCCCGTCACGCTTCCAACTGACAGCTCCGAGGGGCGCGATGATGCTCCTCTCATCACGACATGGGACGCCGCGTAGTACGAGCCCGCTCCGGAAGCCGTAAAGCGTCCCCGAGTCCTGGCTCGGGTCAATCTCTGCTTGTAGTTCTCGGCATTGTAGGATCCCGTCGTCATTGACGAAAAAGCTGAGGGCCATATTCCGGAGCTCGACCGAGAGCCTGCCCCTGGGGTGTAGCGGTTGGAAAGTGGTCAATTTGTGTGTCTCTTCAAAGTTTCCCAATATAGCCGCAACTTTCCGACTCAGGTCTGAGTGCGGATCGAGTAATAGAACGTTGGACCGCCGCCCCTGGCGCTTTCTGACGTCAAGAACCCAGTCTGACATCCTGGTGCGCCAGATGACAGGCTTTCTCCGGATCTCCAGGCGGCCCGAACCCAGATTCAGCCAGTGCACGCAGTTGTCGATGAGGCTGAAAGGCAAATCCCAGCTGGAGGGACCGAAGAATATGTGACGGGGGACGTATTCCCAGACCTCCCGGCCAACAACCGCCTGGATAACCACGCGATTCCCGCGGAGCCCAAAGTGGATGCTCTGTTCTCTCCTGAGGCCTTGCAAGGACATGGCTCATACCAAAAAGTGGTGAGGGGAATGTTAGAAGGTGCTGGTCTCCGAAGAGCTCTTTAACATTCTGGGGAGTCCCTGATCGAAAGGGGCAGTTTTCCAATGTGGCTGCCATCCACAAGGAGCCGTCCATCAATGTAATTGTAATGGATTCTCTGAGCCAAAGTCAAGGTGCTTGTTGACTTGGTCAGGCATGTTATCCATTGGTTGCTCTGAGACTTGGACACGACAAACGTCCACTGGCCAAACTTGGAGTCGGTGGCAGACTCTTGATCGCTTGTGTCTGACCAGGTTTTACCGATGGCCCGGTTCAAACCAAGGGGATGATTTTGTATGGCTACTCTCAAAACGTCCCGGATTCTGTATGCCATCTTCATGTCGCGAGCCATCATGGTCTTCAGTGTGGGAGAGAGCCTTCCCAGGTCCACCACCAGATTCTGTTGCAAAGCCACCGAAGCCTGGGTGAATCCTTCCAGGTCCTCGGCGGACATGTTACCGTCCGGGTTCGGGTCTTCAAAGGTGGTGAAAGTCCTCCGGCAGAGAAGAGAAGCCCAGACACCAAATCGTGCAATCTGTTCCGCCGCGCTTGTGTCGGCGCTCTTCCACAAAGCCTCGCGGATCTGGGTGATCCACCCCAAAGTGGCCTCGCGGGCCATCTTGATGAGCTCGTGTGCAGCGTCACGATTACCCTGGTCGGTGGCCAAGTGAAAAAGGCGGAGACTGAGGGTGATGAGCATCTCCATGCAGCATGTCTCCCGCCAGTTCGAGTAAATCATACGAAGTCGTCTTCGAATCTGCTCCGCCAAGCGGACGCAGAACGAACTGTCCTGGAACACCACATGAACATCCCTCAGAACCCCGTTATGCTGCCGGGTGGGGCCGGCCTGGATGGCGAGCTGGCTGACAACATGCATGGCATCCTCACTGCTGAAGTTGAGGTTGGGGGAGCCTAACTCGGCGAGCATGGATAGCCAGCGGCGTGACCGCCCTGAAATTAGCCCCTGATACGCCGCAAATTCGTGCACCGACATTCCCACGGGGCATTTTGGTTGATTGGCGATGGACTCGTATGAAGATGGGCCGTCGGGGTCGTGATGTGGGTGCTCCTGTGGCGGGAAAACGGAGCTTCTCAGAGCGGGAGGCATGTGAATGCCGCAGAGATGGCTGAACGTCAGCGGCTTGTTGACATCGCCAACCCATATCTGCGACTTCGCGTCATAGAGTCGAAAGTCTAGACCGTTAGGGAGGAGAACCGCGCTTTTCTCAATCTTCATTTTGATCTGCTTGTAGTGCGACTGAAGGAAGGATTTCTTCGCCGAAGCAATGGAGAGGAATCGTACATCAGTCTGAGCAAAAGGTTCCAGCGGTTTGTATTCCTTCAGATGCATATGTGGTGATGGTGAAGGTGTCAGTGGTCGACTTGGATGCGCGAGTTTGCGAATTATGATCCAAGTGGCATCCCGATAGGCAGCGAGGTAGCGTGGCGGATCAAGTTCGAACAAGACCGCAGCGCTAAGATGGGCTTCGGCAGGTAAGAAATCTTCATGTACCGCCACTCTCAACTTGTTCCTCGTCTTCCGGCATTGGCATCGGTCGCAGTTCCGACGGCCATAGCGCCCGTTTGCCTTTCTGGTGCAGGAACAAACGTTTGCATAGAGCGTTTCGCTGAGGACGTCGTACTGGTCATAAGCCTTTTTCCAGTTGGACTCGGCGAGGGCTCTCGCCCTCTGGGATTCGACCGTGATCCGGTCTCGCAGTAGCTTCAAAGGGGTCGACGTTTCCACAAATCGCGCGGCAAAACTGTCTTTGCCAGGTCCGCTCAATATGGTTTTTGCGCCAAACTTGCAACGCGAACATCTTTCGAGAAGGTACTCCTGTATCATCTTGAGGCGTTGCATCTCTTTGGGAGTTGCGAGTTGTAGGACGTCAAGGAGTTCGGGATGGAAACATGGGTGGTAGTCATAAAGCAGGGGACAGTTGGCCACAGCACATTTGTCCATTTTCATCCATAAGTCGAACAGATTCAGGATAGAGATGCTAGCCTGTCCAGGGCCGGACTCGGGGGCGAAAGCACCGTCCGTTGCGCAAACGAGCAGGGTGATCCTCTGTGCTAAGTTGATACAGTCTTCAATCGTCGTGACAGGGGTTTGGTCCTGTTCGATGGTTTGTTCGAGTTTAGCAAGCTCCAAGAATCGGTGGGTAAACCGCTGGACCTCGTCGGTGATCATGTCGCAGTTTACCTTCACCGCCGGTTGTGTAGTTGCACCTGCTTTCTTTGGAGCTGCTAAATGAAGGACATTATCGAGGTACTGGGCGCTGTTCCTTAGAGAGAGACGAAAACTACGCTCATCGGCCTGGAGGGGAAGTCTGGGGATACTCGGTGTGATCGTCGTTTTGTAGCGGCGCCAGGCCGTTTCAACTTGAGTTGTTGCACCCTGGATAGCGTTCGTAAACAGAGACGATGTGGAATCGAAGAGCCGCTGGTACGTGATTCTGCATTCTGGAGATGCCTGGGACTTTTCCATTTCTAGCTTCGCAAGACGGCGGCAGAGCTTGGACCGTAGCAAGATGGTCAATTCCGGATGCAGCTGACCGGCACTGTCTGCCAGTAGCTGAGAAAGCAGCGTACATATCAGAAACTTGTAGCAAGCACGCCCGTTACTGTCCCCAAAGTTGAGGCAGAGATGACGCTGGATGGCGACGCGGAGCACAAGCCAAAATGGCAAACGGCGCCAGGGAAGCAGTGCCTTGTGGAAACTGACGTCGTCCCGAACCCGCTTTCGAAATTTTGGAACATCGGGAGAGTAACCAACCGCCTCGAGCAATGGTAAGAGCATCTGGGTGATAAGAGCCGGATCGGTCGTGTCTCTAACCTCCATGACCGCGACCTTGGCCTTAAGACTATGGGCCGCAAAACGGTCAAGCGACTCTGTGCTGGCTTGCTTCATGAAGGTGGTCAAACTCTCCATGAAGGATGGATCCAGGAACTTGGACAGCGGTATCTGTGCAGCTCTCCCGGGGAAGTCCCACTGCATGGCACCCTCGGCAGCCAAAACATCTTCGGCAGACGGCGATGTTTCGAAGCTTTCAAAGATCACGTCATCGTATCCAGGGTCCCTGTTACGTACGTTGTATGTTAGACTTCATGTTTGATCCGTTTCATTTTAGGTTGATGTATCCAAGACTTACTGCGGCACGCGTCGGATGAGAATGGCGCAATTTTGTTCCGCGATGTGCAGAGCCACCGGGCAACCAACATCCAACCTGGAGAAAGCATTTCGTAAGGACGCTCTATCGAAACCGTCCCGGTGGAGCTCGAGGCATGTGAGAAGCAGGTGATGAACGGATTGCCAGGCTTCTTGTGTCTCTTGGCCGGGAAGCGCGACCAATGTTTTGCAGGCATGAATGAGACGCGTCAGGATGTTATGCCCAACAGCGTCTCGGTCGGCATCTTGACGTCCTGGAAGCTTGGGCGGCAGGACGAGGTGGTTAAAAACGGACTCGAGGAGGGGAGCCATGGCATCGAGGTAACGCGGATAACCGGAGGGAATTTCGAAAGAGTCTCAGAATAAACTCTCAACTTGAGACAACTACTGAGGGATTCGAATTGGGAAGCACTCGCGGTGTGTTGGTGCCCGATTACGTAGTGAGGCCTACCATATAACATGACCCCGCTTCATGTTTGTTTTGTTTGCTTACACAGTTGGCTGCCTGTGGCACTGTGCGTCACTCACCTTCACGTATCATGGCAACAGATTTTAATGCCGTGTTCCACGAAATTTTGATCAATATTCGCCTTACTCCTACTGTTTCAATCTGGCAAGGGCCCCTGGAGGGCTGGAAAGCTTTCTAATACGTATAACATAAGCCAGTGCTCCCAATATCCATGTACTCTCTCACAGTGCTCTGGGGAGCAAATCCAGCCATAGGCAAAATGTCATCCAACGAAGATGATGACCCATCTTCCCTTGGCCCACCGTAAGCGAACGTCCTAGTGTTAGGGTCTTGTTGTTGCCAGAGCCACCACAATCTATCGACTTGAGTATGGTGAAGGAAAAACATTGGATCTAATATTAGACGTGTCAGAACGGCCCCTCTTATTTTGTGACCTGCGAGATGCGCGGACTAACCATTGGGTGAGGATGTCTGTGGTCCCATATCGCCGACAAAACCACCGACCCCTTGGTGGACCGCTCCATGCGGGAAGTTCTCGAGATTATGTCTAAATCCCTCAAACGTTGTTTCCAAGTTGATGGAAGCCATGACAGTGGGGCTATAGTTCGCCCCAAGCATCTCAGGCACGCCATCTTCTGGGGAACCTGGCGCAAAGCTTCGGAGGAGGCAGTGGGGCATGGCCGCATTATTCCAATACACAGGTCGCAGACCAGTGAAAGGTCCGTCGAGCACACAGTTGGTCCCCCACACAGTGGACGTCATGTTGCCGTTGCCACCGAACCCGGTGATGGGGTCCCAGACAGCCGCGGAGGCAGGTGCCTGGGAGTCAGCTACCCAGTCCCAGTACCTACATGGAAGCCATAATAAGTGTCAAAGGTAGCCCCTAAGAATATCACAAACGTCTGGTGTACACTGAAGACTTACATGGCGTTTCCGGTGTACCCGCATTCTTGCAGGGCTTCCTCGTACACTTGCACGAAGTATCGATGCCAGGGCAAAAACGCGGCGACACTGTGAACTAAACTGGTAATCAGCACGATCGGGCGGTAGGTTTGGATTGCAGCCCCTTACTCTGATTGAACAAAATGTCATGGACGCGAGCGAAGTCATCGTAAAGCGTTGAACTGAGGCCAAGCCTTGAGGGTTTTGTTGCCAGGCACAGAGCAGCTTGGATATACGAGCTTTGTTCCGCTCGTGTCGCTTGGTGTCAGAATATCGGGGTGGAGGCTTCGGATATGAAGAAAACGGGGCATGTTTAGCTTAACCATCACTTCTCATTTCGACGGGTAAAAACCCCAAGGGGACCCACATGTCGGAGTCTGAACGAGGAGACACCGAAAACAATAAAACGGACGCGGAACAAGCGCGGACAACACACCATACTTGATTGCCTGATTGGACCAGTGAATCCCGTATTCTGACAATTAAGAGTCTCATCCCCGCTCTACAATACCAATTGAGCTTCCTCTGAATACGGCTATCTTACCTCTGAGAGCAATACCGCGCTTTCGACACTCCAGAGCCCGATCGATTCACCGACAACTCCGGAAGACATCATGACGACCGATCAGACAAAAAGTCAGTCTCGATTCGTCTATCTAGACGGCCCCGGCGACTGGGAAGTCTGGGAACAAGACTTCTTGAGCAAAGTCAAGCTCCAACGCGTCTGGGACCAAGTCCAGGGAACGAAGCCCCTGAGGAAAGAACCGATATGCCCGGAACCCGATCAGGGCTACGCAACCCGAGCGAACGCGGCCCGAGGCGCGCAATCCGCGACAGACTCGACAATCACCGTAGCTTCAGGCTCTCGACCGATATCCGTGGCGGATCTCACCGACGGCGGCCGCACTCGATTCAACGAAGACATGGCAACCTACATCCGTCTGGAAACCCTCTACGTGCAAGAAGCGAAGGCCATGGCAGAAATCGGCGAGTTCGTCATCAAGACCGTCAACCCGAAGTATCGACGGACCTGCTGCAAAGCAGATGACTCGATCTCCCAGTGGTACATCAACCTGAAGAAAGAGGTGGGAGCCACAACCGAATGGGGATACAACAAAGCCAGCAACGATTACCACGAAGCCCTCAAGCCATTAGCGAAAATCAAGGACTATGAGACCTTCATCGACAAATGGGAAACGGCATTTTCCGTCGCCAACGACAAGGGAGTCGCCGAGACGCTCAACTACCTCTCGTGGTCGCGGGATTTTTTCCGATCCATCAAGAACGTTCCAGAGGCTATCGCGTGGGGAATATCATACCGTCAAACCAAAGGGCAAGACTTCCAAGAAGGGAAGCTCACGTATCGTGACTTTGCGGTGGACTTTCGCAACGAGATGGGCCTGGTCGCGCCCACAACAATGCACAAAAAGATTGGGAGAGGTGCATTTGGACCTACCTACGCGGATCAGGAGGCCAACGACCAAAACGCAGAAGGCGCATCCAGAGGGCGGGGAGGACGCACCCGTTCAGGCAAGAAACGCACGCGAGACAACCGATCGTTTTCGTCGAAGTGCATGCTCTGTGACGTCCCGGGACACAAGATCGAGGAGTGTTTCTTTCTGTCCCAACAAGCCCCAACCTGGTTTAAGCCAACGGATGAGAAAAGAGAGGAGATTGAAGCTCGCATTGAAGAAGATGTGAACATCAAGAGGATTGTTCAAGGCATGAGGGGCAAGCGCCCTAGGACAGGAACCAGATCGGGAAGCAGCCGATCAGCGTCCGAAAGACTCACCAAACAAGAAGGGACACCGGGTTATCGAGGATTGACTCGCCGGCCGGAGAGTGGGATCCATTGAGGAGGCATCGTTCATAGCCATCAAGGCATCGTTCTCAACCAGATCCACATATCCCTTGCTCCTATCGGCAATTCTGGACTCAGGGACTACCATCCACATCTTCAACCAAGAGGAGAGGTTCTTCAATAAAAGACCAGCGCTTCCTGACGACTATATCGTGGCAGGAGACTCCCGATTAGCCGTCAGGGGATACGGAGACGTAACCCATCCAGTTGGGGACCACGCGGAAGGTCATGAGACTTCGAGACGTGGCATTCATCCCCTAGCATTCAGTGCAACTTGGTCTCCTTGCGTCTCATCAGACGGCAGGGATTTTACTGGGGACAACCGAAATGACCCAACCCTCCTCAGGAGAAGAGTAGACAACTCTGTGGTGTGTCGACTCCGGGACCTACACGGGCAGTACGTCATCGAATACAACGACGCCATTTCCAACCATGCATCTTTTGCAACCCGATCAGCACGCTGGACGAACTGGAAACGACCATCAGTCACAGCAGAAGCCCAGAAATGGCACCTCCGATACGGGCATCCAGGACCAGAGGCCTTAGCCCGACTGCAGCGGACAGCTCAGGGGGTGAAGATCAGAGGGCCAACCACAGTCCAGTGCGAGGCATGCGCCAAGAGCAAGATCAAGCGACAGATCAGTCGTCGTCCACGCCAATTTACCCAAGGGGTAGGCGAGAGACTAGCCGTCGATTTCCACGAATACACCCAAGGATACGAAGGATTCAAGCACCTGATGCTGGTCACCGATCGCTGGTCTGGACTGGTCTGGGATTTCTACCTCACCGATCGGAAGGGGAAGACACTTGTGGAAGCCTTTGACGGACTCTGGATCTACCTGGACACGCAGTACAGGATTCGCCCCGCGGTCATCGAGACCGACAACGAAGTCATGAAACATGACGGGATCATTTCATGGGCAGCCGAGAAAGGTATCCGTTTCGAGCCCTCAGTCACCGTACACTCAAGCACAGAACGGGCGGCGCAGAGCGCTCAGGGGGTGTGATCAAAGATAAAGGCGAGAGCGAATCCGAGAGTCAGCAAAATTTCCAGAGTTCCTTTGGCCAGAAATCGTCAAAGCAGCAGTCTATCTTCATAATCGCACTCCGACGCTGATCAACCATTGGAAATCACCATACGAGCGATTCCACACACAGATCGGAACCCACGCGGGAGGATTCGCCCAGGCAAGGAAGCCTGAAGGCACGCATCTGAAAGCGTACGGATGCAAGGCATACGCCATGACGGCGAAAGCACAAGAGAAGAAGGATCGAATCAGGAGATTCAACCCCAAGGCTTGGGTAGGATATTTGATCGGATATCAATCGTCCAACATCTATCGAGTATGGGTTCCCTCGCTCAACCGCGTCATCAGCACCAGGGACGTGATCTTCAACGAAGACGAGTTCTTCAGCGGCAACGTGGAACAACTGCGAGACGACTTGCGGATCCTCAACGAAGAGGACCTGAAGAAGGCCTTGGACACTGCCGAATTACCCGAACCCGACCTAGAGGACGAGCCAACAGGCCGATCAGGAGAAGACGAGGAAGTGATGGACATGGGAGATCCTCTGGATCCAGTGGAAGACTCAAGCTCAGAGTCGAAGCTCACCTCTACACGATTCGAGCCTCTCCCTACTCCGCCTCAGTCCCCTCCAGCAGCGTTCTTCACCACCATGTACGAGAAAACGTCATATGACGAGCCCCAGGACCAGGAGTCAACCTACAATGCTTGGCAGGGTGTTGAAGCCTACAATGTCTCGAGGCAAGAAGGCCCGAGGCAGGCGACTTCCCCCTTACAATGTCAAGCAGGTTGCAGCGGCCTACCAATGCCAGTCAGGTTGAAGTAACCTACAATGACACCCAAGCAGGCTACCCCGTGGGAGCAGGCCTACAATGCTGGAAGGCAGACCGCTGATCCGAAGTCCGCGAGGGGAGAAGCGTATCAAGCGCGCAGACGTCGGCTTAGACCGATGCGATCCGGTTACACGGACGCAAACAAAGGGACGATCCTCGAGCGACTGAAGGCTCTACAAAGGACTCACAGATCAGAACTGCCAGTACCCCCAAAGAACGGGAGAGTGCAGGATCACCCCTAAAGGAACTGTTCCATCAAGCGGAACTCGATCACCTGAAGAGCCATGACCAGATGCAGTCCTGGAGAGAAGTTCCCAGGACTGTGGCCCAAGGCAAACAGATCCTTGGTTGCATGTGGGTATACGTCTACAAGACGGACAAGCACGGTTACTTTGTGAAGTGCAAGGCTCGTCTGGTCGTGAGAGGAGACCAGCAGCGGTGGTCAGCAGGCGAAGAGACCTATGCCGCGACACTGGCCTGGCCGATCGTTTAGAACTCTGATGAGCATTGCTGCCCGCTTTGATCTAGAACTGACTCAATATGACGCAGTCAACGCGTTCGTTAACGCGAAGCTCCCGTACGAAGTGTACATGGAGATGCCACGAGGGCTTCACCGAAAGGGCGATACGATCCTGAAACTCGAGAAAGGCCCTCTATGGATTGAGAATATCACCTCCTCCTATGGCAAAAGGAACTGACAACCACCATGATCGAACTGGGATTTGTTCAGATCCCTCATGAGCCCTGCTGTTTCAAGAAGGACGGCATCCTTGTGTTCTTTTACGTCGATGACATAGTCTTCGCGTTCCGCAAAGAAAAGAGACTCCTAGAAAAGGTTCTCGCCGCGAAGCTGGGTCAGCGATACGAACTCTCAGGGGGTGGGGGACTTCAATGGTTCCTCGGGATCGAAGTGATCAGAGACCGGACAAAACGTTTGATCAGGCTCTCTCAGACGGCGTATATCGACAAGATCAGCAAGCTGATTCGAGGACCGGCGAAAAGCGAGGTGCCAATGGGCCGAAACGAACTCCTACCATACGATGGTGTGACTACCGCCTCCGATCTGAACTGGTACCAGAGAACGATCGGATCGATCCTGTTTGCCGCCGTACAGACAAGGGCCGATATCTCTTTTGCAACATCAAGACTGGCTCGATTTCTCAACAACCCGGGGCCACAGCACTGCCAAGCTGCCGATCAGGTCCTAACTTACCTCAAGAGGACGCGAAACTACGCCCTTCAACTTGGAGGAGCAGACACGCTTGACATTGCCAGTGACGCCTCATTTGCTGACAATTTCGCTTGACCGGAAGAGCTCCCAGGGACTGGCCATGAAACTATTTGGAGGTCTGATCGCATGGAGGGCTAACAAGCAAGATACGGTCACCACGTCAACCACGGAGGCCGAACTCCTTTTCCCTTTCGCAAGCAGCCAAGGGAAGCACTCTTCATCGACAGGCTTCTCAAAGAGCTGACAGTCGCTCTCGAAGACAACTACCTCACGATCCAATGCGACAACATCCAGACGATTAGACTGGTGAACCGAGACACAGTCACCCTTCAGACCAAACTGCGCCACGTGGATATCCACAATCACTGGATTCGCCAGGAAGTCAACAACGGTCGGATCAGAGTCGTGTACACGCCTTCAGACAAGATGATTGCCGACGGCTTCACGAAGGCGCTGCAGAGGGAGAAGTGGCAAGGGTTTCTAGACTGTCTGAGCATTGTGGAGGTGGAGGATCATTTACGAAGGCCACCAGCCGCCAGATCAGACGAGCATGAACCCCGTTCAAAGTAACTGCAGCCTTGCCAGAAAGGCAACGCTGAGGGGGTGTGTCAGAATATCGGGGTGGAGGCTTCGGATATGAAGAAAACGGGGCATGTTTAGCTTAACCATCACTTCTCATTTCGACGGGTAAAAACCCCAAGGGGACCCACATGTCGGAGTCTGAACGAGGAGACACCGAAAACAATAAAACGGACGCGGAACAAGCGCGGACAACAACCATACTTGATTGCCTGATTGGACCAGTGAATCCCGTATTCTGACACTTGGCTCCATTCCTTTCGAAGCTTGGGAGAAGTGCATGCCTGCCGACGTGGAGTTGATGGAGGAAGCGCCAGGGCAGCGTGCAGTGACGTGCCGACTAAAACAACGGTTTGAACAAATTTCATGGCTAATGAGAAGCTGGGACTGATAGAAGTAGGTCACGGCGGTATTTACTGATCGGCTTGCCGTGGAGAGCGAAGACTTGTTGAGACGTGGAAGGGTTCTGCTTATATTTATACTCGCTATAGATCGTTCCAGGCCGGCCTCTCTCTTCTAAGATCCTGAGGACTTCGCCTGCGCAGCACATCATCCCCAAGCCGAAAAGCAAAGGTTCACAGCGATTACTTAGTCGGGATCCATTATTCGACCCAAAGATCGCCTTGAACGGTACGTTCGTAAGCCATCAGCTTACCACCCTGGTCAATATTTCAAATGTGATTTTTGGTGCATTAGCTTTATCCCAATCCGTCCCAGCGAGTTGGGCGCTGAGCGCGCTGCCCAGGGGAGAATCCTTTAGTACAAGCCGCAGCCCCCAATTACCAGATCCAATCCAAGACCGGGACCCTGGATATCCCGCAAGTAGGATTAGCTTTGTGAGCCCTGCTTGATTCCTCTGCTCACCGGTGGCCACGGTACCCTCCAGTCGGGCAAGCTCCCGGGCGCAGCCCTGAGCTCTGGGCGGGGAGACATCCCGAAAACCCCGTCCCTGGGTTATCCGCGGCTGGTGAAGTTTTGACAGGTGCGTACCAACCCACGTCTTGCTCCTTGTTGACCCCTACTTGACGAAGCTAGCAATCCTACCCAACCAACTTGAACAGATGACCGTCGCCGTAGGAGTTGTCAATGTGCCCCGGGCCCCCGTTACGTGGCCGCAGATACCGAGCTTGCTAGTGTCGCCGCATCACATCTCATGCGCGCTCTTTTGCTGCCAGTTTATTTTTTAAACGCCCATATCTCTCGAGATGGTCATGTTTCGGGCGCCAGGATTCTCCGCCCATCCCTGAAACGCGACGTCTGGGGCTTCCAAGCTTTCACATGTGCATACATGCACGTATTCAAGGATAACCTTTCAAGGAAACATCATCTAGTTAGTGGCACGTGTGCTTACCAAAGGTAGTGCGAGTATTGTGTAATCATTAGTGGACGGAATTGCGGATGGGCATGTTCGTAGGCGGGCGGTTGATGTGGGTGGCATTGCAAGCATCCTCTCAGCCTGATTTCATCTCTCTCCCAATTCCCGATTGTATGCCCCACGCGCCCAGGCACGTTATCGCTCTGAAATTATTACGTCATGGCGTTTTATTGACTCACCCCGTCAACATCAAAGTTCCAACAACTGATGGATACGGAGGACACAAACTTTGGACATATAGCCACGCCAGCAGAAAACGAGATGAAGACGATTGGAATCTTTCCCGCATCAGGCGGACTAGGCGAGAGCACCTACACGCATCTGCTCCGATTGGTGCCCGCCGACACGGTGATCCTCATCAGTCGACACCCGGACAAAATCCCGCGCGAGCACGTCCAGGCAGGCGTCCAGACCCGCCAGGCCGACTACACTCAATCTTCTTCCGAACTCGAGGCCGCCTTCGCGGGGGATCGATGTCCTCTTCCTGATCTCATATCCAAGCCATCAGCACGAGCTTCGGACCAAGGTACGACGCCGTGCCCTCGCCCAGCCCTGAGCCGCCCCATTTCCCTCACCACACGCACCCTACTAATCCACGTCCAACCCGAGCTCCAACATCCCCGCCATCGACTGCCGCCCACCGCGCCAGGCATATCCCACAATCATCTATCAGCTCGCTCGGCCTTCGCCAACGACCCCTCCGGCCACCCATCAACCACCTCCGTCGCCGAGGTCATGGGCGCCCACCTCGACAGCGAAGCCCACCTCGCTTCGCTCGCCGCATCCTCCTCCTCCTCCCCTAAGTTCACATACACCGTCATCCGCGAGGGCCTGTACGCCGAGTCCACCCCGATCTACACGGCCTTCTTCAACCCGCGGACGTCGTCCAAGGACTGCAACGAAATCCTCATCCCCCACGATGGTGGGGGTAGGGGGGTTTCGTGGGTGAAGCGCGATGAGTTGGGCGAAGCGACGGCAAGGATTATTGCGCGGTTTGTGAGTGGTCCGGAGGGGTTTGCTGCGCGGGGTTGGGTTAATGGGAGGGTGGTTCTCACGGGTACGAGGGAGTGGACGTTGGGGGAGACGGTCAAGGTGCTTGGGGAGGTTGCTGGACGGTCGGGGGAGGGTGGGGTGAAGATTCGGGAGGTTGGCGTGGATGAGTATGTGAGGCAGCCGCAGGTTTTGGGGGTGTTTGGGAGGGAGGAGTTGGCCAGGACGTGGGCTACTGCGTTTGAGGCTGTGAAGAAGGGCGAGACGGGGGCGGTGACGGGGGATCTGGAGGCGATTCTGGGACGCAGGCCGGAGGAGTTTGATGTCACGGTGAAGGAATACTGGGAGGGTATGTGATTGTGAGTTCATGGTGCAGAAGAGTCAATAATCCGACAGACCAGTTGGATACATGTACGGACCCGTTCTCAGTTTGCTGTTACTTAATAATGCGAGAAGGTATCGCAATCTATGGCTCATCACCTAACCAAAGTCCCAGAACCCGTTGACAGACCAAGCGGAAGGTGTCAAAAGGAAGATCGGATGTTCGAAACAAGAACAAAAGAGAAGGCAAAAGAGAAGCACATCGCGTTTGACGGGAATTGAGCCCGACGTGGGGGTCGAACCCACAACCTTGAGATGGGTGATACCCGTTTATAAGAGTCTCACGCTCTACCGATTGAGCTAGCCGGGCGATGCGTTATTTGTTTGTTGGTGTTGCGGTGGATTCGAAGAGTTTTTCTGTGCATGGTGTTGAGGGCCGCTCCCGGTTTAAGGCGTGGAGTCTGGTGCAGGGAGCCGGGTGCCACTGAGCCCTAAGCTAGCCCCCCTAGGGCTAGCCCCCCGAGCGGCAAACCAGCGACCCGGTTCCAGCAATGCCCTGTTGCAGTTAGCGTGCCGTTTCGGGCGAATGTTCCTGACCACCGGTGCACCAAATCGTGGCTGTGGGTCACCAATACCATCTGACATGCATGTTTCACGCGAGAACCTTTTCACGTAACGACGACGTCTTGGGGCCGCCTGGCTGACTGACGGTCTCGGGCGCCTAGTAGCTTACTGGGGCTCGCCAATAGTCGATACATGTGTCCAATCGAGGAGGACGCTTCCCTCTTGGCCAAATCCACCATCCCGAGCGCTGTCCTCATCGAGTCTGGATCATGTTATCAGCCTCCAATGTGGAATTCTCTAGCGCCTACGTTCGTCAAAGAACAGTCACGATGCCACCAAACTTGACGGGGTGTAGAATGCCGAGGAAGGGGGGCTAATGAGAGGAGCGAAGAAAGGAGATGATGAAGCTTGGGAGACGGGATATAAGGCTTCGCGATGGCCCGACAATATCTCCTATCACCACCGCAGCAGCACACTTGTCTCCGAACAACAGACAACATGGTCCGCTCCCTTCTTCTTGTGGTCCTGTCCGCCCTTGGGGTCGCCGGTGCGCGCGATCCAGGCCATCAAGCCCACGACCTCGCCGCTCATCCCACTCCTGTTGCCAGCCTGCGCAATTATTTCCCAACCCAGGTCAACCCCCGCCGCCCGAGGGCAACATCTGAGACGGGAGCACTGCTGTGCGGAGCGAACGAGGTTTGCCTCGACGGAAGGTCCGTTGCTTAAGCTACCTATCCCGGCCAGCGACTGTTTTGCTAACTGGGTTGTAGTTGCTGTGGCCCACTTGGAACCTGCGGCTACGGGCCCGACTTCTGTGGCGCGGGCTGCTTGAACAACTGCGATGCGAAGGCCATGTGCGGAATCTACAGCGAAGGAGGCACCGAAAAATGCGGTATGAACCTTTGCTGCGGCGCTGCCGGTTGGTGCGGTGTATGTTACCCCCATTGCGTTGTGTTGACAACATCACGATCCTCCCCGCTAACTCACCCGCAGACCTCCGAAACCCACTGTGTCGGCCCGGCCTATTGGCCGTGCCAGGAAGGCTACGGGTCATGCCAAATCGTCCCGCCTCCCTCTTGCGATGCCGACGCCGGGTCCGCCGAAGGGCGCCGCATCGGCTACTACCAGAGCTGGAACGTCCGCGACCGGGTGTGCATGAAGGTGGCGCCCAGCGACATCCAGACAGCCAACTACACTCACCTCTACTTTTCCTTTGCCAGCATCGACCCCAACACTTTCGCCGTGGTACCAGCAAACCCAGGCGATGTGGCGTTGATGCACGAATTCACCGCCCTCAAGTCGTCCACCCTCCAGACGTGGATCGCCATCGGGGGCTACAGCTTCAGCGACCCGGGCCCAACCCACACAACCTGGAGCGACATGGTCTCCACACAAACCAACCGTGCCGCCTTCATCCAATCCCTGATCGTCTACATGCAGACCTACGGCTTCCAGGGCGCCGACCTCGACTGGGAGTACCCCGTGGACGAGAAGCGCGGCGGCCGCAAGGGCGACTCGGCCAAGTTCGCGCTGCTCGTCAAGGAGATGCGCGAGGCCTTCGGCACGCAGTACGGCATCAGCCTAGCCCTGGCGCCCGATTACTGGTATCTGCGGTACTTTGACGCGAAGGCGATGGAGCCGTATGTGGATTGGTTCGGTTTCATGGCGTACGACCTGCACGGCTCGTGGGACTCAGATGTTGGCGCGCTGGGCTCCATCGTCCGCGGCCAGGCGGATGTGCGCGAGATTTATAACAATACCCTGCCGCTGTGGTATGCTGGTCTTAACCCGGCCAAGATCAACTTTGGTCTGGCTTACTACGGCCGCGGGTATACCTTGGCCGATCCGTCGTGCAACACCCTCGGCTGTGGGTTTACTGGGCCTAATAAGCCGTTTCCTTGTACTGCCTACCCCGGCGTCATGTCCCTGGTGGAAGGGGAGAAGTTTGCCCGGGACAAGGGTATCACACCCAAGCTTCTCGCGGGGGCGATGATGAAGGAGCTTACGTGGGGCGACCAGTGGGTTGGGTACGATGACCACGAGACGGTCGAAATGAAGATGCGATTTGCTAGCGGTCTTTGCTTTGGTGGGACCATGGCTTGGAGCATCGACTTTAACTCGGGCGCCGGGAGCGGCCTGGAGCCCCCGGTTACTACGGACGGCAGCTGTGGCAAAGCAAATGGAGGCACGGTTTGCGGGAATGCAGGCTTTGGCAGCTGCTGCTCCGCCTCCGGATGGTGCGGTGATAGTGCTGCCCATTGCGGGAGTGGATGCCAGAGCGGCGAATGCCTTGTAAGTACCGGGACACGTTTTTTGTGCAAGCGGGAAGCAAGAACTAACTAGAATACAGATGGGGTTTGTCACTACTGACGGAACGTGTGGTGCCGGCCACGGGGACTCGATCTGCGGCGTCTGGCCGGCCGGTGGGTGCTGCTCCTCATCGGGCTACTGCGGCAGCTCTGATGCTCACTGCGGCGCTGGCTGCCAGAGCGGGTGCGACGGGAAAGGAGGCAGCAACAACACGCAGACCAACTTTACGACCCGAAGGTGGAGAGCCCCGTCCCCTTTATTGTGGACACGGTGATTGACACGATGAATCGTAAGCGCTGGGATGTCTACCAGTTATCCCACGAATTCTCCTGGCATGTCGGGTACTCCTATCACAAGCCAGCATGGATCGACTTTTCCTGGCGTGTCTGGCACTCCGGGCTCGAGCGTGGGCGTACCGAGTTTCCCGCCCACCCCATCGGCCTCAACAGATGACCCTCCGCCCACGTCGACTGCCAGCGTGCAAACTCCGCCGCTCCCGGGGAGTGCTTCAGAACCGAAGACCGAAGAACCGAACGTCCCACGGCCTACGTCCACTACAAACGCCCAAGTCCCGGCGACCTCAGATGCCGATTCAGCAGCGACCAAGGGCGAATAACGGACGTTTCTCCACCCATGCTGGTTGTGAACCCCCTTTCCACACGTTGTTACTTTTACGGTCGTTTTTGAGCACGCTGGAACAGCACAGCATACCTGACGCGATTGGTCAAATTGACGGCTTTTTCAATGAGTTTTCAATGTATTTACTTAGAGACGCCTCCTCGGCGGACAATGCCACCTGTGTTCAAATCGCCTGTTTGAAACACTACCCCTTATTCTTCAATTTACGCAACACGAGCCTTAAACTCGCGCTGGCCAAGCTGCACAAGGTCGCGAAAGCCGAAGCCCTTGTTCCATCTCTTACCCTTCTCCCTAGCCTCTTTGATTCTCCAGAAGATGGTTCCCTGATACGCTGTAAGCCTACGTTCAGGCACAACAAAAGGTAGGTCACTTACATCATACGTCTGCCGAAGATCCTCCTTTGAAACACGCCCATCTTTCTGCACCAGCAGCCAGGTGGTGCCGAACTCAAAAATAGCCGCTCCCCACTGCGCCCGCTTAGTACCATCGTCAGCACAACAAGCGTCGGTCGGAGGACATACCCCAAACGGATCGGCCGCCAGCCGGTTTCCCTTGATCATGTGCCATAGCTCGCCGGCCGATAGCGACCCCGACCCATGGACGTCCCACTTAGCGAACACATCCTCAAACATCTGGGGCACGAACCTCCCCTCCTTATCGTAGGTGCCCGAGTCGGAGCCATGCTGTTGTCGTTAGTCGCAAACCTCAAGACGACAAAGAATCTTAGTGCCCTCACCTTCGCCTTGTGAATCGAGCCCACATACACACGGAACCACGGGTCCGGCCACCACGACACGGCCAGCCGCGTAGGGTACGAAAAGTTGAGGTTGATAATCACCACCGCCAGCAGCGAGAACAGCACGCTGAACCCCAGGTCCCGGAACCCCACGTACGTGTCCCACGGATAGATCTGGCCGTCGCCGTCCCGGTCCCAGAACAGCACATGCTGCTGCAGCACGGTCTGTGTTGTCAATGATGTCAGCCACGTATCCACCCCGCTACAAACCCCAATCCCCAACCGGCACCCCACCTCATCCCCATTCCCATCTCCGACCCCGTCCCCAGCAGGAACAAGACACCTCCACACCAGGCAGAAGACGGGAAACAACCACCGCCACAGGCCAAGAAACAAAAGAAACCAACGAAAAAAAGGGAGGACAAAAACCTACAAAATGCCCCAACGCCCCCCTCCCCGACACGGCACTCCCCTCCGGGACATCAGCCGACACCGCAAGATTCGCACGCGCAATGGCCGGCTTGGCAATGAAGGCGTCGGCCAGGGCGGCCTGCTGGCGCTCGGCGGTGGCGGGGCAGTTGGGCGCGGTGTGGGCGAAGGGGAGGGCTAGGTTGGGGTTGGGGTTGCTGTGGGGGTCGGGCATTGTTGCGATGGTTGGTTGGTTGGGGGTGGATGTGGTGGTGATGGTGATGGAGTTGAGGCTGGTGTTGGGAGATGTTTTGCGCTGGGGTGTTTGATGATCGTTGGGTTTGGGTTAGCTTGGACATGTCCGTCCTCTGTATGATTCATGTGCCAATTGCCGGACTTTTTTTTGTGTTTCTGACGTCATGGATAGAGCCTGGCCGCCCGCTCAGGGGTAGCCAAAATCCGGGTCGATCACATGTGAATGTACCAATCGAAGGGTTACATCAACTGTCGCTAAAGAAACTGACATATGCACAATTACTGAGAGGCTGGGAAGTATTCATGAGCCCGAAAGTAGGACAATTAATTAAGCAACTATTCTAAAATAGTACACAAGTCATCATCCTTTACAGAGCGTTGACCAGAGCGTTGTACGCAGCCTTGGGCTGGTAGTTGCGGTCGAACAGGAGCGGGTTGTCGTTCGCCCTCCAGCTGTCCTTGTCCGAGACGCCCCAGACGGTGATACCGACACACTTGGAGATGCTGAGGCAGGCGTTCATGACGGTGAGGTAGTCGTTGGCAGCGGCACCAGAGATGTCGAGCTCAGTGATGGAAATCTCCTTGACGTTGGAAGCAGCGAGAGCCTTCAGGGCGGCAGGGACGCCAGAGGCAGAGTTCCAGCCACCGGGAGCGGCCAAGTGGGCCTGGGAGCCAATGCCGTCGATGGGGACGCCCTGGGACAGCCACTTGTTGACCTTCTCGACCATGCCGCGGGTGACCTTGGCGTAGTTGGCAATATCAAGGTTGTAGTCGTTGATGTAGAGCTTGGCGGCCGGGTCGGCAGCACGGGCAGCGCGGAAAGCAATGCCGACGAAGTCCTCGCCGAGGACACGGCTGAAGACGCTGTCACGGAGCGAGCCGTCCTCAGCAAAGATCTCGTTGACGACATCCCACTGGACGATCTTGCCCTTGTAGCGGGTGACCATGGTGGTGACGTGGTTCTGGATCACCTGGGTCAAGGTGTTGCGGTCGTTGATGTTCTGCACCCACTGCGGCAGCTGAGAGTGCCAGAGAAGGGTGTGTCCACGGATAAGCTTGCCGTTGGCCGTGGCAAAGTCGACAACCTTGTCAGCATTGCCGAAGTTGAATGAACCGCGGCTCGCTATATCATTTCCGTTAGTGTCTTTGAATTCTTCTCTCCGAGGGTAGAACTAGAAACTCACGCTCAATGGCATCCCACTTCATGCTGTTCTCGCAGGTGACCTGACCGAAGCTGTTCTTGACAATGGTGGTCAAGGCGCTGTTGCTGAGGTGGTAGTGGTCGATCTCGGTTCCGAAGTAGAGCTTCCCCTTAGCCTTGAACTTGTCGTGTAGACCACCGGCAGCGGAGCCGCCGCCGTTGTTGCCGCCGCCGCCGGTGTTGCCACCACCGCCAGTTCCGGGCACACACTGCGAGTACCAGTCACTGGGAATATTTGTTAGCAACACCGGGTACAAATTACCTAAACAAGAGACATTTCACTCACTTGACCTTCTCGCAGGTCGCGCCAGACACGCAGGACGTGGCACCCGACCAGCCTTGGCCGCCGCCTATGGTAACAAAATAATCAGTAAACAGTTCAACCTTAGACATACCAGGCTCTCACATACACTGTCCCCAGAGAGCGGACTGGGCAAACACGGCCGCCGGGGCGACCGCGAGAAGGAACGAGAAGGTGCTGGTGTAGTGCATGATGACTGTTGTTGATCTTCAAGCAGGCTTAGGCGTGGTGGACAAGACAACACAACATTGCCAATGGGCGAGAGACGCCTTGTCTCTTATAAGCTTTGTTTCACGGAGTGCCTTCCGAATACCAATCGAGAAGTAGGCTGTGGGCTTCCCCTTTTCGACGATATCAACAACCTCGGCGTAGCCGCGCCTATCACAAATCGGGCACACTGTAACGGGCCCACCGACCAGGACAGCCCACGGACTTGGCTTCCGTCGATATCAGACTACAACAAGTTAGAGCCTTGGCGCGACGGCGCGTTTCGCATGATACGTGGTGGAGAGTTATTTCCCGTCGCCGACGCTTGGGGCAGAAGTACGGAGAAACATGCGGCATTGTGCTCCTGATTACCCCTTTTGTCCATGCTGGGGCGGGTTTTGAAGCTCAGCTCCGTCAGCTCCTCAGCGCGTCAAGTCCCGAAATAGTGTGATTGGTTAATCGGCTACCTTGCCGTCTTGGTTTCCGGGGAACACCCTCGCGGTGTGGAGTGCATGCATTTCAATATCAACCTCAACGGATCGAAGGTTTGTTAGCTGTTAGCTTGTGATCCCAAATGCTTTAATCAACAGAGTGAACCCTCTGTTCTTGTCCATGCGGGATGGCACCAAGTTCTCACAGGGAGCAGCCACATGGCCTTCTCAAAAGCGTACTCAATACCTACCCGCTGCTACCTACCTACCTAAGTCTCACAGTATGGAGGGGAGGAACCCTGGTCCGGCTGACTTGATCTAGACTCTAGTAGACGGCGGCAAATAAAAATCATCGACTAAAACACCCGGAAGCCTCTTGACATCGGTCACCGCCGATGCCGAGGACTCTGCCTGCGACATCTACAAACGTGCACGGGAAGCGCTTATATGAGAAAGATACTGCGATCACATGTCCCAGCTTGGAACTACGAAGGTGGCGGGGACATTTAGCGAGGTCCCAGACCAAGCCTCCGAAGGTGACAGTTACCCCCATAAGCGAGAGGCCAATGCCACCCAAAATGGGAACACAAGGGAGTAGTACCGAGCCGATTGGCGCGGCTAATCCACAGCTCTCAGATCTCCTCCAAGCGACCTTTCTTCACTCGCTGGAACGGCGTCGCTGGCAAGCCCAAACCCGTGGAGCATAGCTAGAAGTTCCGTAACCCGAAAGCATTCCGGCGACAAAAAGACCCGCGAATAGGCGGCTCGTACTGAAGCGCCGAAAGCTGCTACGGCACCAACAACCTCTTTCTTGGTAGGGTTAACAGTAATGTAACCCGAGTCAGGAACCTAACCGTTGGAAAGCTGCGATAGGTGGCTTAGAATTAACCATCGCTTGGGAACCGGGTTTCGAAAAACCGTTGTAGATCTGTTACATAGGCTTCGACTACGTGGTCTACTACACAGAAGCATTTCTTCACATTCGAATCTATGTCTACATTCACCGCAATACCTTGGGCGGCGGAGATCTTCGCTCAACTAACACGTGAGCACGGTTTTCCTGTACACTAAATAGCTGAGGGTCCGGCACGCCCTAGGGCATAGCGGAGTATAAATAATAATAATAACTAACAAGTGAGTTAGGCATTCGGACCTCAGTGCAGGCGTCTCAACACCGGGTGCTGTTTTCAAGATGCTTGATGGTTGATCGGACATAAATGCAGGGTCGGGTGTATTCCTGAGAGACAGGAAAGGCCAGGTCCGGCGGGTTATGGGCAATCCCCTTGGCTAAGGGCGTCGTTGCCAAGGCGAGTTCAGACCATTACGGCCGCAGCAAAAGCTTGGTGATGGAACTGTACCGAGTAACAGATTATTACAAGAAGGTACATACATACCACCATACAGACACATCCCCAAGGCTTGCTCAATCCATTCTCATTGAAGGCGGCACTCTCCAACAGCCCTGCCTGCTGGTAGAATTTTGTACCGAAATCTATACCCAGTGCAAGGTCTTGAGGAACAAATACCCCCCCTCCTCCCGCATCAAGGTCCGTAACTTGCCTTGACCATTATCATTGAATATATTGACGAAAGGAAGCCACTGAAAGTCGACCTCGAGATTTAGATCCAACAGCCCCCTCCCCAACGACGCACCCGTCACCCCGAACGCACTCCACCGATCCCAAAACCAGAAAATGGCGCAATAATTATGACGTGCAACGGATAGTTCGGCTGTCGGGCGGTTGAAACAAGGTCCCTTGTCCGCTAACGCTCGTTCTTTTCTTTCACGGTTTGTATGGAAAAATGGAGGCAGAACACCAAGTGTTCAAAGGACGACATTATAATCAACACAGGCTCGCTGTGATCCTCAGGCAGCTCAGGTTACTCATAACTCAGCCCCTTACACCATGATACAAGAATCCAACGGAAATGGCAGATGCTTCGGACTACGCCCCCTCTCTTGACATCAAGACTCGCAACCAGAATACCAACCAACCTTTCACAACTCGTCACGTACCAAGATCGCTGAAGAGCCACAGCTCCAACGTGAAGATAGCCACCAACCACAGGTTACCGCGTCTACCCAAAACGCAGCAGCTACAACTTCACAGAGGTCTTCCTCTACAAGTCTGGAACGAGAAATACCGGTGAAAATCATATGCACTTTTCTGCAATAGTATCAAGCTTGCGGCATCCAAGTTGAAGGTCAACCTCTGCAGCTAGGCAATGACACCCTCAGGCGGAAATGACACGCCGAAAATGGAAAATATATCGTCGAACGGAAATGTGGCTGCGAAGGAAGAAGATCTGCTCATGACATGTCGCCGGAGCTGGGCGGTCCCGAGAAAGGGTAGTAATATTATCCTCTCTTGTCACATATCTCTCTTCACAAAGGCCATTAAACACCTTACTCACATACCGGGTTCTATCGCAGCCATGAATCTTTCGGCACCACCGCGAAAAGTTAGAGGCAGAAAACATGCAGGCATGCCTTTTGATGGAGGACACGACGGCAAAAAGTGACTCGGATACCGGGAGTCGAACCCGGGGCTGTTGAGAGAGCAGTCACTCCTGAGAAGTGAGAGTCAACGATGTTACCGCTACACCATACCCGATTGAATCAGATGTGGTTCCGATGTTGTTGCAACAGCGAGCGGGAGCCTGCATTATGTGCGAGTGAGCGTGTGTGTCTGTGGAGCGGGTGTGGGCCGTGAGGGTTGTGCCCCTGTCGTGGAGCGAGACGCGAGATGGAAGCGAGATCCACCACTGAGCTGTCTTTCGAGTTTGTTGACTGACTCGGGTGCGCCGAGAAGCCCCCGAGGCCAATTGGAGCCAATTTCTGCTCCTGTGTGTTGTGGTTTGACTGTGACTGTGCCTGTGCCTGGGTTAGGCAGTATTTGCTATGTTGGCTCTAATATTCATTTCATGAACCTCATAACTAAATGTAGAGCGGACTGCCTAGATATCAAGGTGACGTCCATGTGACAACAATGTATTCATGATCCTAGACTAGGACCATCTATTGCACCTATCTAATACCAGAAACAGTTTATAACACCAAGTTGTTACCTGGGCGCGTATGATCGTTTCAGCCCTATGAACTAGAATGTGTCCCCCTTACCACTATGTGAGGACCATTGGCATTATTATCACCCCCCAAAGTCCCCCGACCACATTCTAAATCTATAAAGCCAATGGTGACTACTGAAAAAAATCCCGGTAGTCTCTCGTTATGCCCACGCCGCTGTTATTATCATTGTTTGACCCTGGTAAGGGTGCACATCTTCGGAATCTTGATGGCTGCCTACCCGTACAATTGATATTGTGCTGCTGCCACATAACTCGTACGTTCAAGAGTCTAGCCAAGCATATAGGTGTCTTGAACCTGTAGTGAACTCTGAAAGTGGTTTGCTCATCGCCTTGAAGTTGCACTCGATCCTGAAAGACGTCTATCGTTGCATGACCTAAGGTAGGCACTTTTTCCGGGGGTAAGAGACGTGCAAGCTATGGTATTAGGCCCTGCGACTATAGTGACACTGAATGCTAATAGATAGTTCCAAATGCCAATTGGACTTGATAAACACTGTTCCACTGCCAACGCCAATTGATGGTTTCCTCGTCTGCTTGGCATAAAAGCGCGGAAAAGGGGTAAAACCCAAGCAATTCCGTGTGAGGTCGGCTTCTACCAAGTAATCCTGCTGCCAAGTAGCCAATTGCGTCGCCATGTAATTAATCTAGTGCACTGCTTGTGTCTTCACGACGGCGCCAAGGTCCTACATATAAAGTGGTTATGTTACTCTTTCGAAAATCACCTGTCGCCTTCTCTATCCGTCCCGGTCCGCCCCGCTTGCATCGGTCGGGTCTTGGAAGAAATCATGGCCAAAAGCGGCAAGTTATGGACCGTTAAATATCCATTTGAGGTGAGTTGCCGCGGCGTGAGACATCAATATGTGTGTAACGTTGGCTCGGAGTGCGGGGAGGACTTGGCCCGCGGGGAATAATGAGTCAACAAACAAGGTTCCGACAATCACCATGGCAAGCAGGTTGCCGTTCTATTAGGTAGTACTTATATCAGGGGCCGGGTGGTCGTGCCTGCAAAAATTTATAGCTGCGATCTTCCCGCCGCTTCTGGGGCGGAAAGTCTCACCTCTACCTACACCCCGCGTGTTCAACAACAAATCGGGGACCGACAAGATGCATGCAAAATGGGCGGCCGTTGCCGCTTTTTTCGCCCAAGCCCAAACAAGCGTTGGAGCTCTCGTATCTTTGCCAGGTACAACGGCCACCATTCCGTCATGGCATTTGCAGTCTTCCGCTAAAACGGGAACCAACCTTGAGGCCCTTTCACAAACTGGCGTGGACACCACCTCATGGCATCACGTCGACAACTCCAAATGCACCCTTATGGGCTGCCTGATTGAAGCCGGGGTATACGATCAAGAAGAATTGTTTTACTCGGAAAACCTGCGCACTGTCGATGAGAAACAGTTCTCGGTTCCATGGATTTACCGCCATGAGTTCCCACTCAAGCCTGAGCCTGGCCAGCACTTCTTTTTGCAGACCCACGGCATATCCTCCCGCGCTGACATTTTTCTCAATGGCAAAGAGGTCGCATCCTCATCGGAGCAAGTAGGCTCATACGTAGGGAACAACTACGACATCACCGGGGTCGTTCACTCCCACAACGCGCTTGCGATCCAGGTGCACCCAACCGACTACTATCACGACCTTGCCCTCGGGTGGGTCGACTGGAATCCCTGGCCAGCAGACAACGGCACCGGTATCTGGCGAGACGTTGAGATTAAACAAACCGGAGCGGTTATGCTTGAGCCGCTGCGGGTTGTCACACAATTAGGCCCTACGCTTGGGGATGAGCCAGCCAATATCACCCTCAAAACACAAGCCCACAATCTCGAAAATACCACCGTCACCATCACAGCCGTGGCCCACATCACCTCAGACTCCGGAGGACACTCCATCACCATCAGCAAAACCGTTACCCTCGCCCCCCTCTCCAACACGGAACTCGTCCTCTCCACAACCATCCCCAACCCCAAAATCTGGTGGCCGCGCCAATGGGGCGCCCAACCCCTCTACACCGCCACCCTGACCACCACCCTCGCCCACACCACCCACCCCACCGACCACGCCACCACCACCTTCGGCCTGCGCACCGTCACCACCACCCTCAACGCCCACAACGACACCACCTTCCACATCAACTTCCGCCCCTTCCAAGTCCTCGGCGCCGGCTACGCTCCCAACCTCTTCCTGCGCTTCTCCCCCGCTAAATGGGAGTCCGAGCTGCACTACGCGCTCGACCTCGGCCTCAACACCATCCGCCTCGAAGGCAAAGACGAGCACCCGGCGCTCTACGCCGCCGCCGACCGCGCCGGCATCATGCTGCTCGCCGGCTGGGAGTGCTGCGACAAGTGGGAGGCCTGGAGCTACAACCCCGACCTGGCCGTCAGTCCGGTGCCCGTGTGGGATGCGGAGGACTACGCGGTGGCAAAGAGCGGCATGCGCCATGAGGGCGCCATGATGCAGGCGCATCCGAGCGTGCTGGGGTTTGTGATTGGGAGCGACTTTTGGCCGGATGAGAGGGCTACGGAGGGGTATTTGACCGCGTTGGAGGAGGTGGGTTGGCAGCTGCCTGTGTTGGGGTCCGCGTCGAAGAGGGGGTTTTCTCAGCAGACGGGTCCGAGTGGGCTGAAGATGGCGGGGCCGTATGATTGGGTGCCGCCGGGGTATTGGTGGGATACGGAGCCGGCGGAGGAGCGGTTTGGGGCGGCGTTTGGGTTTGGGTCCGAGTTGGGGGCGGGTGTGGGCACGCCGGAGTTGGGGTCGCTGAGGAAGTTTCTGGGGGAGGCCGAGATGGAGGATTTGTGGAAGAGTCCGAATAAGAGTTTGTATCACATGTCGAGGGAGACGTCGCAGTTTGAGACGAGGGAGATTTACAACACGGGGCTGTGGAACCGGTGGGGGGCACCGATGAGTCTGGACGACTATCTTATGAAGGCGCAGCTAATGGATTATGAGGCTACGCGGGCACAGATGGAGGCGTACACGGCCATGTGGAGCGCCGACCACCCTGCCACCGGGCTGATCTACTGGATGCTCAACAACGCCTGGCCGAGCTTGCACTGGAACCTCTGGGACTACTACATGCGGCCGGCGGGGAGCTATTTTGGGGCCAAGGTGGGCTTGAGGATGGAGAATGCCGCGTTCGACTACGTCAAAAAAGCGGTCTGGCTGGTGAACCGGTCGTTGGACAAGCATGGGGAAAGGAAGGTGGAAATCGAGGTTCTGGACCTGAAGGGGAAGGTTGTGCACAAGGATTCGGTGGTGATGGCGACGACCCCTAATACCAGCAAGAACATCGTGTCTCTCGCAGAAGCGCTGGGGAACGTTACGGACGTGGTGTTTCTGCGGTTGGTCCTTCACGATGGCCCCGCGAAGGGGAATGTGCTCAGCCGGAACGTGTATTGGGTTGCGAAAGAGCCAGACGTCTTGGACTGGGCGGGCTCGGACTGGTACTACACCCCTGTCAGCAACCACTCCGACTACACTGGGTTGGATGATCTCCAGCCGGCAGCGGTCCATGCTCACGGGGTCCGGACCGGTCATCATGTATACATCACACTGGAGAACAAGTCCGACGTCCCGGCGTTTTTCGTGAGTCTGAACTTGGTGGATAAGCACGGGGATGATGTGCTGCCGGTGACGTGGGAGGACAATTATGTCACGCTGTGGCCGGGAGAGAGTATCACCCTAAAGGCGGAAATTTCAGGCGCAAGCAACCATGCGGGGGAAGTTGTGGTTGTGGGCAAAAACGTTGCCAGGACGAGCATAAGATTGTAATGACGTGGAAGGTTTTTTTCATGAGAAGGTATCGCCGTACCGTTGAAAAGGTCTCCCCGTACCGTGGTACAAAGGGTAATCTCCACTTTTTCCCGCGCTAGTCTGGAACAGGAAGGCGGTGAGACCGGATTTCATCTGGTCGGGCTCCGGTCGCAACGGTCAATTGAACAAGGTGCCCTGAACCGTTCCAAACCACTGGAATCGATCAATTTTGCAGTATATTCGCTCGAGCAATTGAATCGGGTCGATACCGAACCTGTATGCCATGCTCTGATTGGCTGAAGCTATCTAATCTGCCTCCTGATCGACTCCCTGAGCCTCGTGCGTGCTGTGGTCTAAGCCCTGAGCCTCTAAGGCACTTGCCAGGCGAGCCCTGGTGGCACGGCTACCTCTGGTGGTCTTCGTGATGCCCCCGCGCCGTGATCCTGGTGTTGATGCCCTTGCGCGCGCCGTTCCGCGCCGTGGTGCGCGCTGGGCCACAGCGGAAGCGCTGGGAGGCGTTAAGGATGGTGCTCCAGCAGTACTGCTAGCTCTGCTGCCACCCCTGCCTCCTCTAGAGCCTTTACCCCTGACACGACGGCCTCGAGTACTTCCAGTGGCCACCACGATGGTGCTTCGCTGGGAGGGGGTTGCTGAAGGCTCCCTATCGTCGTTGTCGAAATTCACACGCTCCTACTGTGATGGTTCTCTTCGGATCGAGGGCGCTAGGCCGGACTGGCGCTGCGTTGACTGCTGAGGGAGCTGCGTAGCCAGCGGAGCAGTAGATCGAGGCGCCGATGGATCAGGGGCAAAGACCTCGGTGTTGCGCGGCCAGGTCGTCGAAGTGCTCGAGGTCATCTTCGTACGGCGCCATGGTTCCTGCGCAAATCGTCAGTTTCGGCGGAGATCTACGGCGTTCGAAAGCGTTTACTCACGCGATTCTAGAGTAGTAGCTGCTGGATCGCTGCAATTCCCGGCGGTGGTGCGCAATTGGTTCGAAGATTTGGTGTTGTGAGTGATTGTTGAAGAAACTTGGGAAAATGACGTCATCGCGGCAGAATTAATGTGGGTTGCCTGCGCGATGTACCTTTTCTGGCGGAAATTGGCCGGGGTTAGGGTTATGTATGGGAGAACGTGTGGGTCTACGGTACGGGAGGACCTTTCCTACGGTACGGCGATACCTTCTCTTTTTCATACCTGTCGGGGTATGTCCGTTTGTAGACCATAATCCTGTCCGGAGGACAATATTGCGCTCAAACTTTTGGAAATTACTATGCAAAACTGATAACTGGGAGAAATTATTTATTATTATTATTTCTCTTATCACGCTAGGTACTAAGTACATGCGGTCCCTCAGCAATTAACTCGGTAGGAAAAACCATGCCTAAGCTGGATGAACAAGAGTGACCGTGCCCGCTGCGCGCGGGCCCGCCAAAGGAAGCCTGGAGGAACGGGCCGGCGCAGGTAAGCCATAGCGGCATCAGAATATGGTTGGTCGATCAGTTTTAGGACGGTTGACGAATGTTGGGAAAGCAAGCAAAAGCAGTTCTTTGGTCAACCTCAAAAGCTAGTCATACAGCCGCGCCTTCTTCCCGCTGTGGATCTCTTGCTTCTGGCCGGTTCCGGAGAGCTTGGTTCCTTTCTTTTCTTTGTCGGGGTCCTGCTGCTCGAAACGGGTTGAGCGTCCAATAATTCTTCTGTGTCCGAAGCATCGTTCGAGTCGTCGCCATGTAGATCAATAGTTAGGTGAGCCGTGACTGTGGAAGGCGGTGATATATACCTGAAGATGAACCTGTGGGCATCTGATCGGGATCAGCCGTGATCGAGTCTAGCTGTGCTCCAGGGCTGGATGGTGGTTCGGTCGCTTCGCGTTCTGCGGTTTCTGGGGCAACCGGCGAGGAAGATGGATTCTGAGGCGAGGAAGTGGGATTTTGAGCACGGCCTAGTGAAGAGAACGGGTTTCTGCTTGCGACTGCTCCGGGGCCAGCCGATCGTGGTGTCGTTGGTAAGTTGCCGACAGGGTCCGATGATTTCGGCGTCGGTGTATTGTTGGTTGACGGGGAATTCTGCCGAATGAGTTCCCAATTGTCGGCGAGAATCACCAGAATTCGAAAAGTGGGATCGACTTTCCGAGGGCCTTGGATCAGGTCGCGGTCTAGGACCCCCAGGAGTCGACCACTGCACGCGATCCACGATCCCTTGGGAAAGGGGTTTGCGGCGGTCCGCATCCACCCGGCCAGAGACTTCCAGGGTTGCTGGTCGACGGGGAAGAGAACGAGGACGTGGCATATGTGTATGCCTTTGCGAGGAGGGCGGTCGTTCTCTGGCTGCAAGTAAGACCCGAGTTTGGCGAACACCGAAGTCTTGACCAGCGGCTCCGGCCAGACTCCTTGCTTGATATGAAAGGTATCTAGCTCGACGGGGCCGGCAAAGGACACATGTGCTGAAGTGCTTGGCCAAGGAGCTGTCTGGTCGGGACCACCGAGCTGGCGGGGGATGACACTTGGAAGTGTTAGCAGCCAGGTCCTGCTCCAGCGCAAAATAATGGGGCGTACGGAGTCAAGCCGCCATCACTGGGCAGTGTCAGCGCCACCTGTACGGAGTGGGTTTCGTCTGTCTCCTATCTATTAACGCCTACGCCTTGGAAGGTAAGTTTGAGCAGGACGAGAAATTTGTAGAGGTAGGTATCAGGGTCCTCTTGGCGTAAAAGAAAACTGCTTACAAGTCACATACAGAAACGCAGTCCTGCACCTTGCCCTCTTCGTTCCATGGGAAGGTTTCAGGCTGAGCCAGCGGACGATATACCAGGACTTTGGCGATCGCTCGAGGGGCAGCTGGGCGCCCGAATCCGCTCACACTTCCAGAACATCGCTCTGCTACGCGTCTCGGCGGACGATGCCCGTGCTGATCGAAAGCTGCAAGGCCTTGAAGAGGACTCCGAGGACGCCGTGGACGGACTGGACTTTGGCGACCAAGTGGGCGACGATGACGGCGTCGGTGAGGACGTGGAGAGTATTAATCCGCAAGCCCACCACGAAGCCTTCCTGGATGTCCTATCCGCGGTCCGACGTAGCGAAATCAAGGATATGGCGGCGCCCTCGGCCCTGAGGCGCTTGGACGAAGAGGCGAGGGCAGTTGACCCAAGCCAGGACGACAGCAATGCTGCCCAGCGTGGTCGCCATTTTTATACCATGTTACAGGACCTCCAAGACTCGCCTTTCCGCGGCATGGGACTGCCCAGCCGCGAGGAGATCGACGCGGTATTGAAGGTCCAGAAGAAAGAGGACAGCAGCGTCACGGGGAAGATCTAGGGCAGGCAAATGAATCCGTCTTCTGCGCATGCCGGCGAGCCACACGGGAGCCCACGGTTGCCCGTTCACGGACGCGAAAGATCTCCAGAAGGGGTCGGCCCGGGCGGACAGATGCGGCTCGAGCTCGGACGTTATGCAACATACGTCGATGTGGCCCTGGGGCTCACAAGGCACTGGACTTTGAATAAGCTCCAGTCGATGGCAGTCTTGCTACCGGCGGCGTTTCTTGACGAGCGCGGCACACGGCTGCAGGAAGAAGGGGGTCGGCAGCATTTCCAATACATCGGCGGCGAGGGCGGCACCGGCAAGTCTCGCGTCATACACGCCATCAAGGACATGTTCCGGCTGAAGGACGGTCTCCACACGCTGCTCCTGACGGGCGCCAGCGGTAACGCGGCCGCGCTTATCGGCGGAGTGACGCTGCACTCGGCGGCAAATATTGCATTCGAGGGCAGGGCAGCGACAGCAAAGAACATCTCGGAAGAAGAGAAGCTGCGGTGGAAAAACATGATCATGCTGGTTATCGACGAGATCAGCCAGGTGGGCGGTCTCACGCTCGCGGCGGTGGACAGCCGCCTGAAGCAGTACAGAGACGACCAGCATCGACCGTTCGGCGGGATCCCAATAGTCATGTTCTTTGGTGACTTCTTCCAGTTCGACCCCGTCCTGCAGACCAGCCTCCTCTTGCCAACGCCTAGGGACCCCGGTGGACAGAGACCGGACAGCTCGGCAAAGCACCTAGCAGCGCATAAGCTGTTCCTCCAGTTCACGAACGTCGTCATCCTCCGCGAACAGGTCCGCGCGGCCGGCTGTCCAAGGCTGCGGGGTTTCCTTCGGCGCCTGCGCAATGGCGAGCAGACCGAGCTAGACTTCCAGCGGCTATGTCAGCGCGTCTATACACCGTCGAGCGAGTCCTCCTTCATAGATGGCTTGAGAGCCATCACACCTCTGAACCAAGACCGGTGGGACATGAACATGGCGGCCGTCGTCCAGTGGGCTCGTGCCCACGGCAAGGACATCTCCATCTTTGTGGCCAAGCACGATACCGATTCGGGGAAGCGACTAAGTGTGGAAGAGCTGTGCCGCGTGCTTCGCTACGGAGACGACTCCCAGCTGCCAACCCCGGGCTTGTTCTTCTACGCTCAAGGGATGCCGGTGGTGGTGACTCGCAACCAGTTTGTCGGGCTAAAGGTGGTCAACGGGGCGCCTTTCAAGGCCGTCGACATCTTTCCCGACCTTGCCGCCGGCACCATCGCCCTCGCCAGCGATGTGACTCTTCATCTTGGACCGCCGGTGGCCGTCCTCCTTCAGTCAGACGACAGCGCGGGCCTCGCCATCCCCGGGCTCCCCAATGGCACGATCCTGATCAAGAGCAAGACGGTCGCCATCCCGAGCCAAATGCGGGGCAAAGAAGGCAGATGGAGGGGCAAGCCGGGTTTCAGGTGGGTCACCCACCGAACGGGGCTTCTTTGCACCCCGGCCTTCGCCATGACAGATCAGAAGAGCCAAGGCAAACAGTTCTCGGATGTGCTCGTCAACCTCAAAGGCGTCCACTCCAGCGGTACGGCGACTCGACCCAGCTTCATGAGCTTGTACGTGCAGCTGTCGAGGGCGCAGAGCTGGGACGGGCTGCATCTGTTTCGGAAACCGGGGCGTGGCGACTTTATTGAGCCCAAGAATGTGCTCGACAAAGACATGAGGGAGGCCATCCTCAAGCTGGAACGACGGGGTGAGGAGACCAGACGGCGGTTCGAGCAAGACCACAGGCACGAGTCGTGGTTTCAAGAATGGGCTGCCATGCCTGAATCTGGCCAGGGTACTGAAACCGATGACGTAGAGGACGCGGCGCTCTGGCGAGACCCTGGGGTTTCCGAGCTCAGATCGTAGCACAGCTCTCCAACGTTGCTCTGTTTTGGAGCTCTTTTCCAGCGGAATAAGCTGCTTCAATTAATATTTTTATTTTCCTTCTCAACTTGTTGCCGTGTTGCCCTGCAATCTGCATCTTTTCGTGGTCGTCGGCGAACCTGGCCGGGGGTACGCCATCTCATTGGCCCTTATAAAGCGGGGCCAGCCCCACAGCCGACAAACCCCAACAGACCGTCCGTGCACCACCACTGCCAAGCCCAACTTCGAGACGCTCATCGTCAGAGGCAAGTTCCTCCGGGCAAAGCAACATGGCTGCTTCCACAATCGTTAGGATAATGACAGTAAATCTTCACAGTTTACAGGGAGAAATGGCACGGCTTTTTTTTATGGGGCGTTTTATGGGGTTTTTATGGGGCGGAATTGGTCCGTGCTTGGAGCATGGTTTTTCTCGGAAAAGGAACCTTTCGGAAGTACTCGTTCCTCGCACGTTCCTCCAGGCAAAAGGAACCTTTCGGAAGTACTCGTTCCTCGCACGTTCCTCCAGGCAAAGGAACCTTTCGGAAGTACTCGTTCCTCGCACGTTCCTCCAGGCATTTGTCGGAGAAAAGGAACCTTTCGGAAGTACTCGTTCCTCGCACGTTCCTCCAGGCAAAAGGAACCTTTCGGAAGTACTCGTTCCTCGCACGTTCCTCCAGGCATTTGTCGGAGAAAAGGAACCTTTCGGAAGTACTCGTTCCTCGCACGTTCCTCCAGGCAAACCTCCGCACCTTCGTTGCGGCCTTGCCGCTACCCCGTGGATCCATCTCCTCGAAAGGGCTCACCCACCTTCCGAGGTCATGGGAGAAATTAGTATAGTTAACTAACTATGCGAAATTGATAAGAAACTTTATCGCGATCACTGATTGGTTAACAAGCACGCTCCGGCTCGAAGTTCACTTCGTCACCTGTCTTATGGGTTCTCCCTAAACTGCACCATTCATGCCCTCGCAATCCGTTCCATCCATCCATCCAGCCCTCGCAATCCGCTCGACCTTCGCGAACGTCGCCACTCCATCCGTTTGCACGTCTGCCGCTTTCAAGTCCAGGCTGTTTCTATGGAAGACGTGATAGTCGTTCTAGGCGGCGCTACTGAGGCGGCGGTGGAGACGGCTGTGGCACGCAAGACATAGTAACTTACTAATTAATTGCGGAGGGCCGTAAGACATCCAACACATTAGGGACGGAGAGTGTCGCGGCAGAGATAATTGGCATCAAAACAACTTCTTTTATTTTGAGGCATCCGGTGGAAGATTTTGTCTTTTCCAGATGCCTGGTGCGGCGCGCGGTGGTTCAAACGTCATTGACGTCATGAGAGGCGATTCCGGAACTCCAGGAGCGGGACAACGCCGCCCCCAGCGAAAGAAGGTGAAGACGAGAAGGGCGATAGAGTCAAAGCTACAAGAAGATATGGATTGGGAAGAGGAAAGCAACATTGAGAAAATGCCGAGAAATCACAAGAATCGCACCATCCGGGTTGCAGCAGCCGACGAGGCGAGGGACGAGACCCGAGAATCAGAACAAACCGTGGATCATGACCTTAACAACAAATTGAACATCATGAAAGCAGAAATTCAGACGGAATTCAAAAAACTTAAGGACCATATGGCAGAGGAGATCGCCAAAATGACGGCCCAGCTGACTCAAGAGCTGGCACAGGCGCGAGAGGAGCTCACTCAAGCCCGCAGTGAGCTCGAGCAGACCAAGATACAGCTACACACCATGACTAGAGCTCAAGAAACCCCATCGTATCGACCGACGTATGCAGACATCGCCCGACAGACCCCTCTGGTCAGCATTCCCACCCCGCCGACCTCCACCGGTCGGCCGGCGACACCGGAACCGACGTTCTGCATCGTGGACATGTCAAGGGTTCCGGAGGATCATGCCAGTGAAGCTACACCAGTAGCGCTTCGCAAGCTCATTGAGCATGATATGCGTGCGCCTGGCGACCAACCCAGCTGGCGCTGTGTTGCCGTCACAAGAGATAGAGGAAGCACCAATCGTCTTAGGGTCATCAGTAGGAACGAAGGGGAATTGAAGAAGATCAAAGACATCGTCGAAGCAAAGAAAACGCCGGGTGCGAGAGTCCTTCGAGATCAGCTGTACCCGATCAAAGTCGACAATGTCAACCGTACGGCTGTCCTCGACGGCGAGAGCAAGGTCCTCCCTGGGACCGCGGAAGTCCTGGGCCAGGAAAACGACGTGCAGATTGCCAAGATAGCTTGGCTGAGTCGAAAGGACACTGCAAAAGCGTATGGATCCATGGTAGTGTATGTCACGAAACTCGGCGATGCCAAGAGACTCCTCAATGAAGGCTTCTTCTACGCCGGAGGAGAATCAGGGTATACGGGGGTGTTCGAACGTCGGATGCGGCCGGACCAGTGCTACAACTGCCAGCAGATCGGCCACAAAGCGTTCCAGTGCAGAAACCGTCAAGCGTGCGCCAAGTGCGGCAAGGATGGTCACCACCATCGCAGCTGCAGCGAAGTGGTTGCCAAATGCATCTTATGCGGCGGCCCACATGAATCATTTAGCAGAAGCTGCCAGAGGCTCTACCCATCTCGTCATGAGTAGAACGCTCCGCCTAATCCAGCTTAATGTGAGGAAGCAAGGTGTGGTGCACGAAAGCTTGATGAACGACAAGGACATTCAGAACGCAACAGTCTTGGCCATCCAGGAGCCTCATGCACGTAGGATTCATGGCCGACTCTTCACAACCCCCATGGGACATCACAAGTGGATCAAGATGGTTCCCTCGACTTGGAGGGAAGGCAGATGGGCAGTTCGAAGTATGCTTTGGGTGAACAAGGACGTGGAGGCGGAACAGGTACCGATAGGGTCGCCGGACATGACAGCAGCAATCTTAAGGCTCCCCGGTCGGCGAGTCTTGGTAGTATCGGTCTACGTACCAAAGCAGGACCCTCAAGCTCTACGGGAGACGTGCGACAATTTACACAAGACAATCATGGGTGCAAGACGAGACGCGGGCACGACGGTAGACGTGGTAATTGCCGGAGATTTCAACCGGCACGACCAGCTGTGGGGAGGAGACGATGTATCTGTGGAAATAAAAGGAGAGGCAGATAGTATCATCGACCTGATGAACGAGTTTGCCCTTCGCAGTCTGCTTCGACGGGGCACAAAGACATGGCATCTCGGGGATTCCAACACGACCATCGACCTGGTCCTGGCGTCTGCCGAGCTGGCGGAAACAACAGTCAAGTGTGCGATCCACAGGACGAAACACGGATCGGATCACCGCGCGATTGAGACGGTCTTTGACACCTTGGTCCCAGTACCAAAGGAACGGGACCGGCTTCTGCTCCAGAATGCACCTTGGAAAGAAATTAAAACCGAGATTGCGAGGGCACTAGACGCCACCCCTTCGGGAGGCACTGTACAGCAGCAGACAGACCGACTAATGTCGGCGGTCTTGGAGACGGTCCAAACCCTGACACCGAAAGCGAGACCATCGCCATATGCCAAGCGGTGGTGGACAACCGACCTTACACAACTGCGTCGCATTTACACATACTGGAGGAACCGTGCTCGGACCGAACGACGAGCCGGGCGATCCTTGGTGGACTTGGAGGAAATGGCGAAAGCGGCTGCGAAACAGTACCACGACGCTATCCGGCAACAGAAGAAGAAGCACTGGGACGACTTTCTTGAAGACAACAGCAATATCTGGAAGGCTGCCAAATACCTAAAGTCTAGCGACGACATAGCGTTCGGGAAGGTGCCACAGCTCGTCAGAGCAGACGGAACAGCCACGGCCGACCACAGAGAACAAGAAGAACTCTTAACCACCTTCTTTCCTCCCCTTCCAGAGAGGATTGAAGATGAAGGTGCTAGACCGCAGCGAGCTCCCGTAGCAATGCCGCCAATCACCATGGAAGAGGTAGAGCGACAACTATTCGCAGCCAAATCTTGGAAAGCACCTGGGGAGGACGGCTTACCGGCGATAGTCTGGAAGCAGACTTGGCCAGTGGTCAAGTACCGTGTTCTCGCACTATTTCGAGCATCTCTGGAGCATAGCACACTGCCCAGTCAATGGCGACACGCCAAGATCATACCGCTTAAGAAGCCCGGCAAGGACGACTACAGTGCTGCCAAAGCCTGGAGACCGATCTCACTTCTAGCAACGCTCGGCAAGCTGCTGGAGTCGGTCGTCGCCGAAAGGATCTCACATGCGGTTGAGACATATGGGCTCCTCCCGACCAACCACTTCGGAGCGTGCAAGCAACGATCGGCGGAGCAAGCGCTCATACTCCTCCAGGAACAGATTTACACCGCCTGGAGAGGTCGAAAGGTAGCAAGTCTGATCAGCTTTGATGTGAAAGGAGCCTACAATGGAGTCTGCAAGGAAAGACTTCTTCAGCGGATGAAGGCACGAGGCATCCCAGACGAGCTGCTTCAATGGACAAACGCCTTCTGCTCGGAGCGCACAGCCACAATTCAAGTCAATGGATATACATCCGAGATTCAAAGCCTACCTCAGGCTGGTCTACCTCAAGGCTCTCCCCTATCCCCGATCTTATTCCTCTTCTTCAACGCGGACCTCGTACAACGACGAATCGACAGCCGTGGTGGTGCGATAGCCTTCGTGGATGACTTTACAGCGTGGATCACGGGACCTACGGCGCAGAGCAACCGAGAAGGCATAGAAGCCATCATCAGGGACGCCCTAGACTGGGAGACAAGGAGTGGTGCGACCTTCAATGTCCAGAAGACAGCAATCATACACTTCACTCGCACAATCTATAAGACCGACGCACAACCATTCACCATCAAGGGGCAGATTGTCAAGCCTCAAGACCATGTCAAGATCCTTGGCGTGCTCATGGACACAAAACTAAAGTACAAAGAACACATTTGGAGGGCTGCGTCCAAAGGCCTGGAAGCAGCGATGGAACTGAAACGCCTCCGAGGTCTGTCCCCATCAACGGCGCGGCAGCTGTTTACATGCACAGTTGCCCCCGTGGTAGACTACGCCTCCAATGTGTGGATGCACGCATGCAAGAATAAACTCGCAGGACCCATCAACAGGATCCAGAGAGTGGCGGCGCAAGCCATCGTGGGGACCTTCCTCACAGTGGCAACGAGCGTAGCGGAAGCAGAAGCTCATATTGCCAGCGCACAAGATCGGTTCTGGAGACGGGCCATCAAACTATGGACCGATATTCACACCCTGCCATACACCAACCCATTACGCAGAAACACGTCTCAAATGCGAAAGTTCAGGAAAAGCCACCGCTCGCCACTCTACCAGGTGGCAGACACACTGAAAGACATCGCAATGGACGAGCTGGAAACCATTAACCCGTTCACATTGACACCTTGGGAGAACCGTGTACAAACTGTCACTAACGAGCCGACGACAACACGCCGGAATGCCAACGACGATATTATATGCATCGCCGTAAGCAGCTCGGCGCGAAACGGCCTGGTGGGAGTTGGCGGAGCTGCGACGCTGCCGGCATCTGCATACGGCACCCCAAAACTTGGGACCTTCTTCCTCTACGCTTGGCTCAAGGTCAGAACAAAATCCATACTCTGGGGAACTTGCGGCCATCGAACGAGCGTTAGGCACACTGCCAACGTTTAGATCTAGCCGCATCGAGCTCTCAACACGCAACAAAGCGGCTGTTCTCGCGATCCGACACGCTCGACGACAGTCCGGGCAACGGCACATCTGCCAGATATACCAATCAATCAGAGAACTACGCAGGAACGGAAACACAGTATCAATACGATGGTTCCCTGCAAGAGAAGAAAACAAGCTTTGGGAAATCGCCAAGGGGAACGCAAAACATGCCACTCGACAGGGCGCCGCTCCGGAAGTACAAATGCCCAGGATGCGGTCGACAACCCTCAACGTAGCACGGTCCAAGAGAGACAGCAGCAATCACCTGCCAGACAAAGTCGGAGCTCATTCCAAGCGAGTCGACGCAGCACTACCAGGGAAACACACCCAACTGCTGTACGATCATCTATCTCATAAGGAGGCTGCCAAACTTGCTCAGCTCAGAACAGGCATGGCAAGGCTCAACGGTTACCTCCACCGAATCGGAGTAGCACCGTCAGACCAGTGCGCATGTGGACAAGCAAAAGAGACAGTGGACCACTTCCTATTCCGATGCACAAAATGGACAGCGTACCGAAGAAAGATGCTCGAATGTACAGACACTCAGAGAAGCAATATTTCCTTCTATCTAGGAGGGAAATCGCCGTCGGACAAGAACGACTGGACTCCTGACATGGCTGCCGTTCGCGCAACCATACGGTTCGCAATGGCGACGGGCCGACTCGACACGAACGAACCACAGGCCGACTAAATCACCTAACCCACCACACCCGACAGCACCGGACCCCCTCACCTCGTGACACAAATAGCAGGCACCCGCTTCAGCTGCTGAAGATAGGACGTCGAACACTTGGAGAATCGCCTTCAAGCCAGCCTACTAACAGCCCTACTAAACCCACGAGAATTCGCAGTGAAATGGTAACTGTCGGAATATGAACTAGAATGAACTTTACGGGCTTCAAAGAGATTAAGACATATCTTGGGAAATGTATCGTCAGATTGTAATACTAGTTGCCCTTTCGGTTGACCCGCCGGGCGTTAATAAACTACTACTACTACTACTACTAATTAATTGCAACTGGGTCTCGCGGACGCCCTCGCGGACGCCCTCACGGACGCAATCCTGTTGGCCGCCCACCTACGCAAAATCCTCCCCAAGAAAACCCTCCGCGAGAATTTAACGAACCCGGTCCGCGGTTTACAGGCGACGACCAGGAGACGCCGCTGTTGGCCGAAGACATTGCGATCAAGAGGGAGTTCGACGAAGCGCTTGCCGCAGAGGAGATGCAACGATGTCTGCGTTGCAAGGAGCGCTGGTTTGACATCAAGCTCATGGCGGATGGCGTTTGTAAGCACTGCCACGACAAGGATGACAAGAAACGGCAGGAGGAATCTTTTTTTTTCTCCGCAGAGAACAAGCTTGATTTTGGCCCGGTCCCACCACAGTTGCCCCAACTAAAGCCGTTGGAGGAGCTTTTCATTGCGCGTGTGCACGTCAGCGTCAATGTATTCACTGTATGCGATGTTTCCTGCGAGAGAGTCTACTTACTAACTAGCACCAGGTTCGTGGGCAGCAATACAAGTATCGTGGTCATATTGTACACTTCCTGCGCGACGTGGGCAAGGTGTATTCCGAGCTTCCCTTATTGCCCAAGGATTTGGACATTGTTATCCTCCGCCCACGTGGATCTGAGAATGCTGAACAGATGGACCGACAATTCCGCAACCGCTTCCGAGTCCGTCGAGCAGCAGTCGAGACATGGCTCAGATTCCTCGCCGACAACCACCCTGGCTATAGGAATTTCACCTGGAACTACGACAACCTCTCCCAGTTGCCAGAGGACGGCAACGTCTTTGATCAGCCGAATATCCACGAGGTCGAGGAGTGTGAAGGTTTGCCTGCAGATTCTGGCCTGTTGAAGAGCCGGAAGAGGACGGAGAGGTTGTTGACGAAGCTGAGGTGCCCAATATGCTAGTCCATGACTCAGAATTGAACCAGCTCCAGGAGCGAGTCGACGGTGGGGCTGCTGAAGTCAATGCCGCCAATGAGCAAGTGCCCCTACAGCCCGTTGAGCCTCAGGCTGCTCATCAGCTGAAGATGCCTTCCATCCGACGTACTCCTCTCGACGAGTTCAACCAAACGCATGCGCTGCTCTCACTAGCTTGCCCGACCCTGTTTCCTCGAGGGGTTGCGGACTTCGTTGAACCTAGGCAGCGCAAGATCTCCTATCAGGATTACATCCAGCATGCCATGAAGTGGGAAGATGGCCGATTCGCTGAACATCACAGCTTCCGATTCATTTGCGCTAAACACTCTGATGAGGCAGCAGGCAAGGGGTCAAAGTCGATTCTACGTCAGCAAGAATCACCGCACACCTCTCGGATCTATCGCGAGACACCATCACGAGCTATTATCAGGCAACTGCAGGCGTTAGATGCTGTGGGGGGGAAGGATCCCTCAGAGGAGTCAATAGGTATATAAGTAGCGACGACGAGAGTGTAGATGCATCAGCGCTTGGAACAATAATAGAAATGATTGGTATAGGTGGGATAAGAAGCTCGAGTGAATGGAGTTGTTGGCCGACGGACAGATATTGACGCTTCGTCTCTCCCGTATTCAACCCTAACCCGGATTGTCCTCCGGAGAGGGACAGGAAAATTGCCAGGAGCGGGAGAGAGGAAGGAAGCGCCCCGTAACGTAGCGAAGGGCCGTGCGACTGACGAACGAAGCGACGCCAGCAATTTTAATTACAACCAGTAGCTGTTTCAACGTCCACATGTTCGACTTTTATTGAGCCTTCTTGATTAAAATACCGAGTTGAATGGTGATTTAGGGGCTGCCTACTCAGTTGATGGACAAACTGCAACGCACTTACATGTTCGAGTACAAGCAAATCATTGATAAGGCTACCGTTTAATCAAGTCCCAGATGTAGGATCAGAGCCCTATGCCTGGAGGAACTCCAGGTTCCTTAGGTCAAAAACTCAAAAATGCCATGGCCTGCTCTAAGCACGGACCAGTTTTTTCTCCATGAAAAAAACCCAAAAAACAAACCCTACAAAACGGTGTCATTCTAACCTGCACTGTCGACTTCTTCTCACTGTAGAATTTTGGCTTTTTTCTCCTTTTCGACTTCTCTCGATAGCATCTCGAAGTCTGGCGTCATCTGCATTCTGCTTCGTCGAATTGGCATCTCGCAGTTGGTCTTGGCGGTGGAGGTGCACGGACCGTTGTTGCTTTGTTCTGGCCAATCAAATCTCCGGAAAAAAGCCGCTTACCCGCACTTTGGCATCAAGGCCCCTGTGACTCGCTGCTTCGCTCGTGCCTTTGCGTGCCTCCGTCGCGCAATCCTCGACAATCACGAACCAAGAAATTAAATTTCTGTCAAAAAGTGGCGGAAATAAGGTTTCATGGTCGACATCTATTATGGGTTGACTATTGCTACTAGAGCGACGTACCCGCATCTTCGTCAGCAGCTTCAGCAGCCTGCGCTGATTCAGGCATGGCGTCCCATTCCTGAAACCACGGCTCGTGCCTGTGGTCTTCCTCGAACCGCCGTCTGGTCTCCTCACCCTGTCGTTCCAGCTTGAGGATGGCGTCCCTCATGTCTCTATCAAGCACGTTCTTCGGCTCGATGAAGTCACTGCGCGCCGGCTTCCGAAACAGATGCAGCCCGTCCGAGCTCTGCGCCCTCGACAGCTGCACGTACAAGCTCATGAAACTGGGCCGAGTCGCTGTGCCGCCGCCGCGTACGCCTTTCAGGTTGACGAGGACGTCTGAGAACTGCTTTCCCTGGCTCTTCTGATCCGTCATGGCGAAGGCCGGCGTGCAAAGAGGTCCCGTTCTGTGGGTGACCCACCGAAAACCCGGCTTGCCCCTCCATCCGCCCTCCTTGCCCCGCATTTGGCTCGGGATGGCGACCGTCTTGCTCTTGATCAGGATCGTGCCATTGGGGAGCCCGGGGATGGCGAGGCCCGCGCTGTCGTCTGACTCAAGGAGGACGGCCACCGGCGGTCCAAGATGAAGAGTCACATCGCTGGCGAGGGCGATGGTGCCGGCGGCGGGATCGGGGAAGATGTCGACGGCCTTGAAAGGTGCCCCGTTGACGACCTTCAGCTCAATAAACTGGTTCCGAGTCACCACGACCGGCATCCCCTGCGCGTAGAAGAACAGGCCCGGGGTTGGCAGCTGCGAGTCGTCTCTGTGGCGGAGCACGTCGCCCAGCTCTTCGACGCGCAGCCGCTTCGCCGATTCGGTGTCATGCTTGGCTACAAAGATGGAGATGTGTTTGCCGTAGGCACGGGCCCACTGGACGACGGCTGCCATGTTCAGCTCCCACCGGTCTTGGTTCAGGGGCGTGATGGCTCTCAGACCGTCTACGAAGGACGCCTTGCACGACGGTGTATAAAGGCGTTGACTGAGCCGCTGGAAGTCCAGCTCGGTCTGCTCGCCGTTGCGCAGGCGCCCGAGGAAGCCCCGAAGCCTTGGGCAACCAGCCGCGCGGACCTGCTCCTGGAGGATGACAACGGTTGTGAACTGGAGGAACAGCCTGTGCGCTGCGAGATGCTTCGCCAAGCTTTCCGGTCTCTGTCCGCCACGGTCCCTGGGCGCCGGCAAGAGGAGGCTGGTCTGCAGGACGGGGTCGAACTGGAAGAAGTCCCCGAAGAACAGGACCATTGGGATCCCGCCAAACGGGCGATAACCCTCTCCCGAGCCAATCAGAAGCAAGAGGTCTACAGCGGGAAAAAAGAGGGCGCGACTGTACGATTCGACGCTAGTCTGACTGAAGAAACCACGTTTCCTTACTTTCCCAGCATTCGTCAATAACCATCATGAAATGGAAAAAAAAAAAAGACAATTACATCGTTGACTCCGCTATGGGGCCTACCTGCAGCCGGCAAGTTCCTCCAGGCTTCCTTTGGCGTGCCCGCGCGCAGCGGGCACGGTCACTCCTGTTGCCTTAACAACAACTAACTACCCGTCACTAAGTGCAGCAAGCCTTGGAGGTTACCCCTGAGCGGCGGAAGTAGGAGGTACTCAGTTTGCACTCCTGCAGCCGCCTTCAACAAGTTATCTAGCCTGCCCGGCTAGCTCAATCGGTAGAGCGTGAGACTCTTACATCTCAACACATCTCAAGGTTGTGGGTTCGACCCCCACGTCGGGCTCAATTCCCGGCAGCGATGCCTTTCTTTTTCTATTTTTCCTTGCAATGACCTCACCGGTCTTTGTTTTTTGTTTCTCGGGAATAGCCGTGTGATTGGAGTATTGTGTGGCTTCACGATGTCTATAGATTACATTGGGTAACATCCCCGCTACCAGTTGGTGTGGTGTCAAGATTACAGGGTTAGGACCACGCCTTTGGCGTGTGGTCGCCAAGGCGTAATCAAACCCCCTGAGGTGGACCCAGGGGACCAGATGCGGTATTTTTCAGGGTCAGACGCCTGCCCACAGCTGTTTGAACCAGACACAGAAATCACAACGGTGGCACTGCAATAGTCGACCATCAATCGAGTCAACTGGACGTAATTACATTGTCTTCGCTACGTGTGACTGTCCCATCTCGGTATCCGTGGCTGTAGGTTTTCCAACATGTGGGCTTTGAGGTTGCGGTTACGTGAACGACAAAATGGGATATCACCTAGTGTAGTCACCCAGCTTGTAACGGGCTGTGCCCGAGGTGGGCCTCGGTAACCCTCGGCCAGCTCACGTACAAGCACGGTCCACCGAACCCCTGGATGAAGCCATTCCCAGTTGCCCCACAGCACACCGAACATTCTAGTAATGCGCTCGGGCCACCGCACTCGCGATCATAAAGCAGCCCCATGAGCTGCCAGCCTCTCTGCTCTTTCCTTTTCATCTTCAAGCTTAGTGTACTTGTAGAGTCGTCACCAGATAGTTGCAATATACTCCTAGGACCGTTACATAGCTCTTGTTTCAGTTTCTGTTGGATTTGGAAGGCGGTTAGGAGGGGCAATTCAGGGGTAACTAGTGGCCGGGCATTAGTATTTTCAGGATCAGGGCGAGGCCCGCGGCAATGGGAACGAGACAGAGACAGAGATACAGACATCATCATCAATGGACTGGTTGCCCCTCTTTCGTTACCTTTTGGCACCCAATCACCTTGGTACCGTTAATTCGTAGCTGTTGGCTTTCCAACAGCAGTGGACCGAACAGGTAAACCTTGCCAACCCAGGGGGAGGCACTAGCCCCGTTAAACCAGAAGGGTCTGCCAGATTCCTGGGAGTCTGGTTGGACTGGAAACTCAACTGGAAGGCTCACCTGGTGGCGGTGGAGAAGAAGCTGGGGACCCAGAGATATGCCCTAAGTCAGAACCCCTGCATGTGGGCACCCCCCGGATTTGGGCACTTACACATCCGAATTAGGAAATCGACCACCCCCATTTCATTACCACTATTTTCTACCTTTCGTTGCTACTACAATACAATCGCTACCATCACTAGAATTCTCTTCTTCGAAACTATCCACTGGGCTCGGTTCCCTGGCCCCTGCAGCCACCTGTGCCCTGTAAATATCCGAGGTATTTGCAAACAGTTCGTTTGGGTTAGTATCTACCCTCTTCCGTTTTATCACGGTCAGGATCACCGTGGTAGGGGCAAGCTGGTATATTGCGTGGTTGCACGAGGAACCGAATGTGGGAGGCGAGGCGCACTCAGGGAAAACCCTGTGGCTGCGCACAGACCAGCGCAGAGCTACGTACAGCCCACCTCGGGGTTCAGCCGTGCAACCCTAACCCTACAAGGAACGGGCTGTGCCCGTGACACGTTTCCTGGGCTTAACAGCTTCCAACTGGGCACGCAGGACCTGGTTTTCGGCCTCCTTGATAGCCAAACTACCATATCCAACGGTTGTAGAACGTGCGAACAGTGTGCCGGTAGGTAGATGACGTGGATACGATGTTTGAGGCATAACCACATAAAGTCATCACTTGTGTGGCTCCCGTGGCCATCCAGAATCAGAAGTCGGTAGTCGGTAGGGTTGGTAGGCTGGGTTTGTGGAATGAAGATCTTTTCCAGCCATTCGACTGCAACTGCATTGTTGGTCCACCTGTTGTCGGTTGCTGTAAACTCCCAATCGCTAAAAGGCTTCAAATCCAAAGGAAACCATTGTTGTTGAACAGTTTTACCCTTGAAAATAACCAGGGGGCTGAGGTACTGGCCGGTAGCCGAGATGCATTCGATGAAGGAGGTCCACGCCCGTTTACCGGGGTCAGCTTTCAGGATAGCCTTCTTTTCCTTGGTCCCAACAACCAGGCCGTTGACTCCCTTGCCTTCCATAATCCCAGCCTCATCTATATTCCATCTGTTGGCTGGCTTGATGGCCTTGATGGCTGGAACGTTGAGGTACGGAAACCAACCACGAATAATATCAATGGTGGCTCCATTTACCCGGGTCTTTTCCACAGTTCTGGCCCTCTGGGTTTGGAGGAAGGGATGCCGGTTCATAAACCGGGTTAACCAGCGTTTACCAATGGTTGTTTGGTCTCCCCGGGCCTGAAGTATTCGCTGGGCCAGTTCCTTGATTTGCGAATGGGTAGGAGGGTTACCAATAGCCACCTGATTGCGAACCCACTCGGCTAGACGGTCCTCCTGAACCCTCGAAAGCTTTTGCAATTCTTCGAAGGCCACTGCCCGCGGTTGGTGGCCTTTTTCCCGGTTCTGGAGAGTTGACCTGGGTATAGCCCATTCCCTGGCTACCTTGGCCAACGGTCGGCCGTTTCGCACCTGTAAAAGGGCCTGGTAAAGTTGTTCTTTGGTATAGTCGACCATCTTCAACAAAAGATTCAGTATACCAAAAAGGGAGTGTTGAGGAAGAAGATTGACGAAGTTGTGGCTGTTTGAAGTGGTTGGGCTAGGTTGGGTGTCGATGCAGGTGTAAGTGCCCAAATCCGGGGGGTGCCCACATGCAGGGGTTCTGACTTATCGAGGATCGTGGCAAAGACGTGGGGAATGGGGCTAGCCAAAGCGCGAGAAGTGTACACAAAGTGCATCCGGTCGGCGCTGGCCTATGGCGCATCATCGTTTCACATCCCCACGGATGTGGGAGGCGAGCCGGTAAAGAAAGGCATCACTAAGGCCCTTGGGAAGGCCCAGAACAAGAGCTTGCGGATTGTGGCGGGAGCCTTTAAGTCTACCCCCATCCGTAACCTCGAGACAGAGACATGGGCACCACCATTGGATTTGTAATCACCTAAACAAACGGCTTGCAGATTTCGAAAACCGACTCCAACGACCCGATCTGGACGACGGTCAAGGCGGCAAGAAGACGGCGGCGAGCGTTGTCCTCACCGCCTGCCGCAAGATACAGCAGAGACTTAGCTCGAGGAGGGGCAACAGGGGCCGACCGCGAACCTTGGGACCTCAAGGGCCTACGGCGGTGGAGAGAGCCACGGGCACGGTCATGCGCTGGACGTGGGGAATTGTTGATACGAACAGGGTAGTAGAAGAGGCTTGGAAAGCGAGGTGGCTAAAGGAACGGGACGGCAGGGCAATCACCAGGCCGGCGGACGACTTTGACCATCAGCAGGAGACGCTATTCCGGAACGGAACCCTAAGGAGGCACGACGGTCTCAGCAAGGCGAAGAGCTCACTGCTGATTCAAATCCAGACGGGAGCAATAGGCTTACGGTACTTCTTGTTTACACGGGGAGTCCCGGAGGTTCTGACTCCTGCCTGCGAGTGTGGCGAGGGACGAGAGACTGCCGAACACCTGGTAGTGTGGTGTTTGGCCCCACCGTTGACTAGAAGATGGGAGAGAACTGGAATTCGGACACGACGGGACTTTTACTCTGTTCTACACGGCATCATTCCCACGACTGCACGGATCGCGAGGAGAGTCCTCGACTGGCTGATGGACTCGGGGAAGCTGCCGATGTACAACTTGGCCAGGAGGCCTCCTCTCTTTGTATACGCAGACTCACCAGAACGCATCGTTCCTTGAATGTTGGTATGGGTTTTTCACCCGGCCCGGGAGGGCACGGTTTTCCTGTACACAAAATAGCAGAGGGTCCGGCACGCCCTAGGGCACAGCGGAGTATGAATAATAATATTTACCTTAACATTCATGTCCCCAACAGTGGGAGCTGTAGCTTGCCAATAAAACTGACTCGCATTGTATACACCCATGTTCTCCAGGCCATGCTGCACGTTATACGTCGTCGTTGGGATGCACCTGTCGGCAAAACTCCGTGTCTGCCACATCTCTGGCTGCCCGTAGTCATACAGCATGGTGGTAGCTCATTGCATCTTGTAGAACTCCTGTCGGTTGGAAGGCCCTCGCTGCCAAATCTTGATAAGGGCAAAACAGGCGCCTTTTCCTACCGTAAGCTACCTACCTAAGAACGCAGATTCAGCACTTCCAAGCTCGCCCGGGTACACATCTCAATGAACTCCTTATCACTCATCTTGCCCTGAGTTGTATGTTTAAGTTTTAGGACGCGTTCCATCATGGAACGCAACCCCTCTTGCCCGTCACGAGGTGTGATGTTCCACTTCTGCCCATTTCGTACATTGTAGAGTACAATGCGCGGGAGTTTCAACAAGCAGGCATACGTACATGCCTGTATGACATGCTGGTTTGAAAGTTGTGAGACAAATTTGATCTCCCAGACAGACTCCACGCCCCCAACGTTGTTCCCGTCCGAATTGGATGAAGCCGCCACGATGTCAGCTCGACCAAAGAGTCGGCATCTCTGATCATCAATGCGGAAACTCCCCACAGATTCAACCTCGAACCTGGGGTTTGCGGCTATTCCACTGAGCTCTCGCCGGAGTCGACTGCACGCGAGGGCAAGGTCGTCAGGTTCTATCCAATCGAATTTGTGGTTTGCCATCTGGATGTCGCGCGAGAGATAGCCCGAGACGAGAGCTTGGTAGGCACAGGCCTTTCGACAAAGCCAAGAGACACCTTCCCGTGAGCGGATTTCAGGAGCTGTGTCAGTCTTGCGTTGGCCGAGTCCAAGCGCACTCAATGTTCCAGCCATCTCATGCTCAAACGCTGCGGCAACGACAAGGCCATTCAAATCGCTCACAGCTTCGTAGAACCTCTTTCCTTTGTCCGAAATCACGACATCTGGGAGTTTAATGTGCTGATCCTCTGGTAGAGGCGATTGTACCTGGATACATAGGTGAGTATGAACAATGGCGTCGAGATGTTCATCTGTTATGTGCCGGGCTATGTCTCGGACCGCGATACAGCCTGGGACGGTAGGCCCACGCTTAAAGGGTCGGCCTGAAGGATCGGGCGGTTTAATGTTGTTCCGATTTCTTGTCATGTTGATAATGTTGGCGGTTTCGTATAGAGCTTCGACCGATGCAAAAGGCATGAGCTTCTTATCCTCATTATGGACCAAGACAAGCTGTTCTGCGGCACGTGTTAGAGCCACAAAAGCCTCGTTGGGGCATTGATCATGGGGAAGATCGCGGCCAAAAAGAAACGAGGAATCGAGGCCGAAGAGGATGACCAGATCACGCTCGCTGCCTTTGAACTGGTGAATTGTAGAAACACACAGCTTGCCCTTAATTACCCTGTCATCTAGAGGAACCTCGTCGTCGATTGATACGGCGATGGGCTCTCCGTATTTCTTTGACAAGATGTTGACAACGTCCTGTAATGGCCTGAGTTTACGCACAGCTGGCGCTATAATTGCGGTATTCTTAGCCCCGTAGAGCTTGATCAGGTCTGACAGATGCTTAGCTAACCTCGCATAGCTGTTCCGAAGATGGCATCTTAGGATAATAGGCTTAGGCCCAGGCTTGGAGCTGGTGATGTATGATTCGCCACTGAGAAAAGTATTGTTGATGAACCGAACTGACTGATCCGATAGTCGAAAACTTCGATCCAACTGAATCTTGGTAAAGGGATATGGGCTGATAATACCCAGTACTTCAGGAGCCAAAGTAAGGTAGCGGTCATCGGCACCACGGAATCCGTAAATGGCTTGTCGCTCATCACCCAATACGACGAGACGGGCAGATTGACCCCCCGCCTTCTGGTCGTTGGCGAGGATGAAGCAGTTAATAAGCCAGAAGAGGAGTTTGGTACAATCCTGAAACTCGTCTAAAACAATAATGTCGAAGGGCGCGGAATCCCACCGAGGAAGCTCGTTGCGATCAAGGACTCGTTTTTTCTGCTGCGCCAAAGTAGCGTCGTTGGGGACAAGGGTCCCAAAAAGCAAGCCGGCCATGGCGTGAAAAGTGAAGACTTTGCAGTTAGAGTAGGTGCAAAGCCGTCGATGGGTCTCCAGCTCAAGTCTCTTTGAGTAGGTGAGCACAACTACTCGTTTGTCTGGGTGGGCGGCTACAATAGCCTCAGCCGTAGCCGTTTTGCCGGAGCCTGGCCGAGCCGACACGATAACATTCTTCGTACCGCAAAGTTCTGCGATCTCTTGCTGCTCCTTGGACGGGGTAAATGAACAGCTCTTTTTCTGCCGTGTAAGCAAGTTATGCGTGTTCGTGAAGAAGCGAAAGGAGCCACCAAGGCAGAAGGCCTGACACTAGTGTCTTATCAGTGCTATGGATCTTTCACATCACCTAGTCTCATCACTGGCGGTCGAGGTGTTTTCCGTCACTTACCAGAGGCTTAACAGTATGTGACATTGACCATGCGCGGGCGGCTGGGTGCCTGGTTAAGGATAACTGGCCAAGCATTTTTGCTCCAAATATCGCTGTGGTCGTCAAGAGCGTTGATTTGGGGAGAGCATGTCTACTCGGACTGTGAAAAGCGCCTCCCCGTACTGTAAATATAGGGAATGGCTAGATCGCACAGCGCCACGGGTATAGAGCACAGCGCTATCCCTGATTCGGGAAAGCTCCCGCGCCGCCCTGCAGCAGTATAAGATTGAATATCCTGAACAGCTGCCAAGCGGGCACACAGCGTCTGCCACAGCTTAATCAACCTGCTCAAATGACGTCAACGCAAATCACACCCGGCTTGTTCCAGCCCTTGAAGACCCGGTGCCGTACTCGTGACCTCGGAGTTGACTGCGACTCCGGTCTTCATCGAAGTGCCAGCGACCCAAATGGAGTCCTCAACCCGGGTCTGTGTCTCTGGAGCCGTCATGCCACGGGGAAAGCTGCTCGGCGCGTGCAGCAGCGAAGGCAGCTGGATCGCTCCAGCCGTGATTGTGGGAACCGCCAACGCCATTAGGAAGCTCAACAGCCCACTGGCCATTAGTGTCGGAATATCTACGCCAGAGTTACGTCCTCGCAGGGGGACGTGACAGATGGATGGATGAATGGAATTTATTTCGCCCGGAGGCACTGGGCCTATAGGGCCTTAGCACGCTAACTACATCCGGATCAAATCGTTTTGCCTTTAACTCGTACAAGCCCCCTACTAATTCCCTCTTTCTCGCTGCACCATTTACCTCTTGCCTTGGTTGTTGTTAGCAGATCAGCTTGGAGGCTACTTTCTCCAAGTGTTCAGCGTCCTATCTTCAGCAGCTAAAGCGGGACCTGCTGGTTAAGGCTCATGAAAGTTGGAGCAGCAGGCGCCGGCTTGTGGCCCGCTTGGCAGCTGTCACGAATTCACAATTGTCCTGCTGCACGGGCGGGGCGGGAGCTTTCCCGAATCAGGGATACCGCCGTGCTATATACCCGTGGCGCTGTGCGATCTAGCCACCCCCCACAAGCCAGCCGAGCATCAGCCTCTCCATCAGCAAGCAACGCATCATGTGTATCCTCGACCTCGGGATCAACAGAATCGAGGGCATCAATGATGCACTAATACGCTCGCGGCGGTGCCGTTCCAGGCTCGTATAGATCTTCTTCAACTTCCTGCAGCCGCAGTAACCCCAGCTTTGTAGTTCTGACTGCAGGAGTTGATGTGGCTGCCTCCGTCTCTGATGTAACTGCTACCACAATGCAGTCAGCTTCCTGAGTTTGCCGCTGAGCTTGTAGCTGCGGTTGTTGTTTGCGAGGGCGGCCGCGTGGCTTGCCCGCCGATGCTCCCTTCATTATGGAAGGAGCAGTTGACGGGGGCACAGCCGTAGCTGGTTCATTCTCGAGCTCATATTCGAACGCCGAAGGCAGCCGCTTGGTACCAGTGATTCCCTCACCCTTCTTCTTCGAAGCAGAGACCGAGGCGATGGCCCCAGCAGGTCTGCCTTTACCCTTGACCTTGACGGGCTCAACGGGAATATTTGGCACGACGTTGACGATCTGCTGCTCCTCTCCGTCGGTCACGGCCGATAACTCCACCAATGCTTGTGGATTTGCTTCAGCTCAACAGGGCCATCACCGGTAAGATGCTTATAGAGAGTGTGGCGGCAGGGAAGCCCATGGGTAGCCGGCAGCGGACATGTGCAAATATCGCCCTTCCCACCCGGCGCGTCTTTCGCGGGTAGCTTTGCCACTTCAGTAGCAAGCAAATGCAACGCGTAAGTTGAAATCTGGCCCCGGATGTAGCTGTAGATGACGCTATGACAGCGAGTAGGGACCTTGTTCGTGTTCCAGGAAGTGTTGTGGTCAAGGGCGCTGCGTTGGTTCTTCTAGAACAGCACGAGGCGCTCAAAGACGCCCTTGAGGTCACCCCTGGATGTGACCAGGTATTTCTTGATGGAAGAATGGGATGATTCAACTGCTGAAGTAGTAACGTAGCCCATGTGAGGCACCTGGTTGGTCCAGCAGATCACTAGTTTCTCCTTCTCGATGTCAGCGAAGATTAGCAAGCGCCCAAAAAGATCCTTACCTTCCAAGGTGTTAGCCACACATTCACGGCATATTTGACCGCTTCCTATGGATGTTTCCCGGCTAATCTGAAGCTGGCAAGCGATTGCTCGTACGCTTTGGGAGTACTGGCGGACAGGAGAGCGTTCCATTCCTTCAGGAATTCCTTGAACTTAGGGTGACGGTGGTATTCGCTGCCCTGCTTGATTGCTGCTGGAAAGAATCGTCGGGTCTTGGAAAGCACGTTCATGTTAACGTGCCAGCGGCAGAGGAGGTGTGGAATCGGGCGCCACGCATCGCTAGCTTCGAGGGCATTGAGCAGGGCTAGTTCACGATCTGTAACAATCAGACCAGGCAGGCGAATGTTGTGCTTCGTCAGGATCCTCAGCTGGGCATCCAGGGCGCCTTCGTAATGATCCTGCTTCTCCCCGCTCATGAACGTGATCGACCAGTTAAAAGTCTTGTTTTCCTGTGTAACGCCGCAGGCGTTAAACATTGGCATCCCGTGGCAATTGGTTTCGTAGATGGAATCCAGTAAAAGGAGGTCGGGATCCTGCTTGAAGAGCTCCAGGCCGCTCTTGGGAGCGATGGTAAGAGAGGTAATGCGATTTTGGTTGTCCCGGGTGTCGATGTACTCGTACTGGCTCTCAGCAGGTACAAGGAAGTCCTCGTACAAGGTTTGGAGTGGCGAACGGCCCCGGAGCTCCTGGCGGCGATGTTTTTGAAGAAGATTCCTTATGTCCTTGCCCATGACTCCAACCCAGGCAGCATCTATCGCAGCAAGAATCTGAGAAGGTCTACTGCCAGCGTTGGCCGTCTGGATGACCTCTTCCTGATGGACAGCCAAAACTCGGGTGCGGTTCAAAGCAAACGAAGTCGCTTCATTCCAGCCGTGATTGTGACTTGAGAACTCCCCTTCAGGCACCTCTAACAGCCACTTGCCATCAGGTAGCGGCTTGGCTGTCAGTCGGAACTTGCAGCCGGTCATCTGGGTGCTGGACTTCCTCCGCTTGCTCTCGTGAATTTCGGAGGAGCGTTGATCCTTGTACTTGCGAGCCTTGGCACATCTGAACTTGTATTTGAGTCCGTTTTTCCCATTCTTGACGATGCTATAGCCGTGTGCCTGTCCGTGAGTGCAGATATCTTGAAACAGGTCGTCTAGGCTCTCGTAAATCTTGACGGGTGGCGGCGGGCCGCACGGTCGAGGAATCGGTTCCGTGGAATGCTTTGTCATGGCAAAGGTACCTATTCTAGAAGTGCATCGAGAGGGTCAGTTTGAACCCCTAAGCATAAAAGAAATGGCAGCGTACCGGCGTGAGGGCATTGCATGAAGAGATCGGGTTGTCGATGTGACTGGGTCGTCGGCAATTTTGCTGCTGCTTCGGCGCTGCTGATCTCGAAGCGACTTTGCGGAAGTCACGCAACGGTATGGTAAGCTGGCCAGGTGACAGCGGCCCGAAATTTTGGTATTGGTGATTCACTCGGAGGTATGGAAAAACCATTATCCCGATTAGGTATAGCTGGGTGCTTGATAGTATTTCGTGGGTGCTTGGGAGCCCTTCCCTTGAGTAACGGGCTAAGTTGGGTTGTTACGGCCGGCTACTTGCTTCAGCGACACCAAATGTTTTTGGTATTAGCGGCCGTGGAACGGGAAAAGCGAGGCCCAACAAATCGCATGAGGAAACCAACGGCAGCGCTACGAAAGCAGTTGCCAAGATCTTGAGGAATGGTCATTGTTCAGGGGCTCAGGGGCTCAACAGCTTGTGATGTGTGACAAGTGCGCAGCCGCATCGGGAGGAGGAGTGCGTACCGACTGATATGCAAACAATGCTGTTATACGAATGTGAGCCAAGTGATTGCGTAAACAGGCGCTTGCAATTCTCGTGGTTGCCTAACACCAAGCCACGGCCTGCAAGACGAGTGCGGCTGATCGGCGACGTGTCGGCACGAGTATCCCTGACCCCAGGACCCCATTCAGCCTGGAACAAAGCCTTTCCGAATACCTAATTAAGGTACCCAACCTGTTCCGAGAACACCATCTCCCATATTCGTATCATCATCTCACCACACCACCCATCCGCAACCATCAAACCAAACCAACCCACCATAACCATGACCAACCCAACCACCACCCTCCCCGCCTCCGCCACAACACACCTCCTCCACGCCACCCTACAAGACCGCATCACCGGCTCACTGATCGGCTCCGCCCTCGGCGACGCCATCGGTCTCTACACAGAATTCATGACAGCCGCGACCGCCGCGACCGCCTACCCCACCGGCAAATTCACCCTCGGCGGCAGCGGCAACCACGCAGCACACACACCCCCAACACCCTTCAAACTCGACGCGCACCGCGCCCCCAAACTCCCCGGCGACTGGACCGACGACACCGACCACGCGCTGCTGGTGCTGCTGGCGTTTCTGCATACCGCGCGCACGGGCGGCACCCGGGCCCCTGGTGGTGGTGCCCCTGGTGGTGCTGACGGGAGGGAGTTGCATCCGCCGCCCCCGATGCCGACGCAGCAGGCCCTGGCGGCGCGGCTGCGCGTGTGGGTGAGCCAGGGCTTCCGGCCGCTGGATACCATGCCGCTGGGGCTGGGGCGGCTGGTGGGCACGGTGGTGGCGTCAGCGGGGTTTGACGCCGACCCGGAGCGCGTGGCGCGCGAGTACTGGGAGAAGACGGGGCGGCGCGTGGCGCCGAATGGGAGCCTGATGCGGACGCATCCGCTGGGGTTGGTGTGTCTGTTCCGGGAGGAGGAGGAGGCGTTTGAGGTGGCTGCGGCGCTGTCGCGGGTTACGCACTTTGATCCGCGCTGTGTGCTGGCGTGTGTGGCGGGAACGGGGTTGGTGAGGGCGCTGGCGAGGGGTGAGGTGGTGGTGGAGGGGGATGTGGATGCGGTGGTGAAGCGTGGGCTGGAGTGGTTCCAGGGTACGGGGGACGGGGGTGAATTGGATATCGAGGAATTGTGGAAGCATGTCGGACCTGAAAGTGGGTTAGAGAAGCTGAACTTGGATGAGCAGGCTGCGATCGGGTATGTGTACAAGACACTTGGTTCGGGGGTCGTGCTCTTGCGGATGGCGATTAGGAGGCTCGCGGCAAGCAAGAACGGCTTGTTGGACCGGACTTTCCTCTTTGAGCAGCTCATTACGGATCTCATCATGCGCGGTGGGGATGCCGACACAAACGCATGTTTTGCCGGGGCCTTGTTGGGCGCCTATCTTGGCTACTACGCATTGCCGGACCACTGGAAGCATGGTCTGAAGTATCAAGAGTGGCTCCTGGAAAAATCAGTTGCTTTATGCCAGGTTCTCGGGGTGGGGGATGGGGATTACGACGGCGCGGAGCACAAAGACACAGACCCTCTCGCGGGGAAACCTGCCATCAGTCAAGATGAGATGGAGGGCCGCTGGATGGTGTTGCAGCAAGCAACGTTCAGGAAGATGGAGGATGCAGCAAAGGGATCGTCATCAAAAGCATCAGGGTCGAGTTGGTCGTTTCTGTTCAAAAAGGAGAAGGGATCAGGGGGAACCGCACGTTAACGACGCTATATTTATTGCAGCGTCACGCATGATCCCCGTGTCCAAGATGATATATGGTAACCAAAGACTCACACCAGCCGGAATATTTAGCAACTCAGAATGCAATGATGGCAAGGTTCATTAACATACGAAACAAGGACAGCGCAGCAGCCGAAAGAAGATGCGATACCTGCGCTGACTCCAGTCCCTACCATTGGAACCCGTTCCCACACCATGGATTCCTTCCCAAAAGCTGGAGTACCCGAGCATCGGTGACCGTTCAAACAAGAATTGCACCAAAAAGAAATAGGGGCAGTGAAACTTGACTCTTAAAGGACCGAGAAGTGTAGGAGCTCAAAACCAATCAACCCTTCAGACACCGAAATGAACAAACGGAGCCCACAGATCAGGGCCACACCCCGTCTCCTTTCGTAGCATCATAACAGCATACCAAAGAGCCTCTGCAACGACCGCCTCTCCTCCGCGCTCCTTCGCCGTCTCCCTATTCAAGTACGCATAAAAGTGCTCGGTGACACGGCGGCAAGCGTCGTCCTCGGCCCGCCACAGCGTGCCGACGACGTGGGCAAACCCGGCTGCCTGGAAGCCCGCGGCCAGATGCAGTCCTTCGTCAGCGAGCCACATAGCCCGCGTCTCAGCTGTCGAGCATGCGGACAGCACGGCGAGCCAAAAGCGTGACTCGTTCCCCGCCTCGAACGCGGCGATAGACACATCCTTCAACGTCAGCTTGTCCTCGACCGCTATGCGCTCTGGCTTATTCTTCTTGCCAGTTGTGGTGGCAGTGGTGGATATTCCATTCTTTTGCAGCATCAGCCGGCTGTTTGACGGGTACACGGGGTCCGAGAAGCCGTGGCATGCGAAGTGCACAATGGTTGAGTCCACGAATTTGTCGAGCACCTGGGCGGCGGTGGGGTGTTCGAGCTCCTCAATGAGATAGCGGTCTCTGCATGCCTCTCGTAATGCCTTACTCTCGGCATTAACGCCGGGTAGGTCCCTCTGACCAGGAGTGGTCGGCATCGTCACGAGCAGGATTGACTCTGGCGTACAGGCACTCCCAGCAGTTGCTATACATGGTGCTTGTGTAGGAAGCGCTAGCCCTGCCCTTGTTGTCTCATCTTCGACAGGTCCGTTCCTGGCATCTAAACCTGACTCGTTTGTGCCGCCGCGCACGGTAACATTCCTTTCTATCGACGAAGCAAGCACCTTGTCATCGCGACCGCCATGTGGGCACCTCGACAGACGCAATGCACGAGACCGTGAGTATGCAAGAGCTTTGAGGGTTGGGGTGTAGGATGACACGATGCTCAGTGCGTTGTTGGCTGAGCCCTCGTCGAAATCGAGACCAGCGGCGTGGAAGGGGAGAGAGCTGGCGCCACCACAGCCAATCCACCAAATGCGCGGGGGTGCCCTTTCAGGCTGGTCGGCCGCAACATGAAGGCATCCCATCTCTTTGAGCTTTTCAAGCACAGGACTCACGCAGTTGTTCCAGAGACTCGAAAACCTCTCCATGCCGGGATCAATTTGCGGGGAATCTGCGTCCACGATGTCTCGGTCGGTCGGAGCGTCCTGTCCGGGATCCCGATGGTCTCCTTGAGGACGATGAGTTGCGTTGTCGTGGCGTGGATCTTGCAGTTCCATTGCCGTCACGGCTTTGGAGGTGATGAGAATGGCATGTCGGCCGATGTCTGTCATGTTTACCATCACGATCGGGCCGGTGCTTGCGAGTGCCTTCCAGTCGTCCGGCACAAGTGGCATCCGGAATCTCTCGTGGCCTTCCAATCCCCGTATCTCCTCAATACAGACATTAAGGTCCTGAGCGGCCTGCCTCTGTTCCCTACCCAGCGCAGCGGCAATCACGTCCCGCATTCCGCTGGCCACCTGTACGTGCTCTTGGATGGTCTCGTCCCACCTTTCTGCAAGATGTACGGGGAGTGCCGAGTTACGATAGGATTCAACCTGATCGGCAGACCCTCTTCTGACGAGAGACTCATAACGACGGACAAGGTCTGGGTGACTTTCCCTCAGCGCTGACAGGTCCGCCGCGTCATCCATGGTGTAGCCGAGGATGACGCCCCGGCCCAACTCGAGCCACTCTACGGCCTTTTCAACGTCCTTAGCTAAGAGACTCAGCGAAGCCGCCTCCGAGGCAAAGCCCGGGATTCGCATCATGGCACGCTGCTGGTCTTCTTTGCATGTGTAGCGAAGGCACACGAGAGGGAGAAGCTTCATTGCCTCGTCGGCCAGCGCCTTGGCTTCGGAAATTTTCCCTTGAACGACGAGAATCTCAATGGCGCGTTGAGCGCAGCCAATTCTATCGCTAGGAGTGCCAAGTTCGTTGGACGCGGCTGATTTAAACATCGCCACGGCTTTCTTTCGGTCGCTGTCTTGCTTGTCTTTGTCGTTTGTAGCATCGGACCGCTTCATCAACGCTGCAGCCAGGTGCCCGAGGTGACGAACCTTGACGCTTGAGCTGTCAGGGACCCGAGCTTCTGCCGTTTCAAGATACTTGATCGCTTCGCCTAGGGTTGCTTCCGATCCATCTGTCTTGTAACGGGCCAGCAGTCTCCCTCCGAGGCTGGCCTCGGCATCTGGGCGCATCGGATTGATTTCCAGAATGAGGCTGACTGCCTTCCTTGCCGCCTCTATAGCCAGCACGAGGTGTGATATATCCTCCGTTTCTCTGTATTGGCAGTGATGCAGCCACCCCAGGTTGATCCAAACGAGCCCCCGGGCCGGGTCTTGTTTCGATGTGTGTTTCTCGATCTCCTTGGCAATTTCCAGTGCCTCCTCGCGGATGGAGGAGTCGGGAATTGCCACATACCTAGCACACGCAGCTGAGAGTTGGATGCTGAGAGCCGACAAGCGGGCGGCAACCCCAACTGGCGCCAGAGCGACAGCTATCTTCGCCTGCCGTCCCGCCTCCTCGGCGTCAGACAACTGTCCTTCTCGCGCGTTACGTACCAGATAGAATTCTGCAAGCGTACTATGAATGGCGACTCGAGAAACAGTGTCTTCACCGGCCAGCTCGGAGGCTTCCAACCCCGCCTTGAGAGCGTCATTTATGTCTCTGTGATTCCCGTCTCTTGTATAGCGGCTCCCAAGTGCAACGCAGCGGCTTAAGAGACACTCGATGCGGATGGGGATTAGTTGCGGCTCCAGCTCCACTGCCTGGGTTGCGGTGTGGACCGCGCTTTCGAGATCGGAGGACTGATGGGAATGCTCATATTTGCTGTGGTGATAGCCGCTGAGCATGCTCAGGGCTTGGGCGAGAGTGTCCTTGTCGCCACTGCACGCATCGCAAACCGCTGTCCCCTCTGTAATGGCCTTATCGATGAGGGGCAGATCCCAGGCCATCTCAAAGCGTCTTTTATGAATCTCAGCAAGCCTACTTCGGAGTGACGCTTGTCGAGTAAGATCGTTCGTTAAACTTAGCGCCTCTTGACACAAGTGGAGCGCTTCGTATAGGTCCCGCGGTTCTTTCTTCTCTGCATAGCGATGCTCCAGGGCGGTCGAGACTTGCTCCAGTGCTTCTGTTCTGAGGGCCTGCCAATCTTCGTCTTTGGGTCCGGTTGTTATCAGGACAAGCTGCCTTGAAATGGCCAGACTCTGGTCGAGGTACCTTCCATCTTGCCCCGTGGTTTTGTACAACCTGATCAACATTTCCGGAAGCCGGTACAAGAGTACGGCGCGGTATGCGGTGTTGTTTGTCGCTAGACTCAAGCCTGCGTTACAGCATGCGACGGCGAGCTTGACGTGTCCAGCTGAAGCATGGGGGAACCCCTCGTCCTTGGACATTTCAAACAACCTATATCCCATCCCATACAGCAAGGACAAACACACATGCGGCTTCTGCCGACTTCGTTGAGTTTGTGCTACTGTCGCGTCCACAAATTGCTGTGCTTTTTGCTGCAAATACTCGTCGGGGATATCCCAAATGTCGCGTCCAGGCCGGCTGCATATTTTCTCCATTTCGGCCGCAAAATCCACGGCATATTTATCGATTATCTCCATCAGACCAAGTTTCCCAGCGCCGCCCTATGGTTCAGGACGGGGAGCCGCGATGACCAGGGCCGGTGATTGTGTGTTGGTGGTCACCACCTTGGCGGAGTTTGAGAACTACCCGTAGGTAATGTAACTCGATAGGCACCTCGGCATGTGCAGGTAACGAAGAAAAGTCCGGGAGGGAAGCACCATGCAGAGACGACTCGGAAAGGGCGGAGTTGGAGATAGGCAGATTTGCACCACCGGTGCTGAACGATTACAGCGGGCTCAAAATCTATGAAGAAGACAGACAGCCAGCCTCGTGAGGGGTTTTGTTCGAATGCGGCCTCTAGGCCGTTAGTTGCATTCTAGGACAGAAAAAGGCAAACACCTCAGGGACAAATTGGAGCTCCGGCGGGCGAGAGGACTCGGCCGCCCCTCTGCAGCTGGTTCATGCATTTGCTCATTCTTGTACACCCACACAAAATCGCCCGGCTTTGGGGAGGGAAGTGAAGCCATCGACCAATAATCAGCAGTAAATCTGATATCAATCCTGCACAGCACCCACATGACTATCAAACGCGAGCAGATATTGGGCCGGATACGAACGTTTTGAGACGTCGAATATACGACCACTGAACGGCCGCGGCCCCCCGTCTCCATGTGCGTTGAAGGGGAGATCAGCCACAGTAATCCGTACCCTCTAGCTTTTTCTGCTCGGGCTTATTTTTGGTCCCCTGGAGCTCCACTGCTAAGGTACACTGTGAGCACCGCCGAGTATCTGTGCAGTGTAAACTTTAGCTCTGTACGCTATCTTTCACTTGGGTCTAATGTTCTAATTACGTCCCACGGACCGTGCGATCGAGCTGCAGAGAGGTGAGATACTCACGTTGCTCCAGCAACAAACAGTTCAAGCATCTTCGACTTGGCCATGCTGCCGAAAACGGCCTGAATGAGCACATTGCTGGCAATGATAATCGCAATCCGAGCTGCCGTGCCGCCGACTGAATTGCACGCTACGATGGGCACAGTGAGGAGTGAAGTTGTTAGGAGCACGAAGACCATACGGGCAAGCCGCCGAATGAGGGACCCTGAGTAGATATGCACATGCGGGTCGACGGATACATCGAAGCCCGGTCGCTGCCACGGTGTCATGAGCTGCACACAGAGATTTGACGGGGATAGTAGACAAGCAGAGATGATAAGCAGATGCCTCAAAACTCACCTGGCGGAACCCCTTGTAGAAGTGGAGAAGGCCGTCCTCGACCCAGGACTCCAGCTTGACAAAGATATCATCACTTGTGGGGCAAATCTCGATCAGGTCGTCGAGATGATGGAGGAAGGCTGTTTCTTCTCTAGTAATGCATCTGTTACCGTTGACCCAGTTCTGCAGACTTGCCACTGCCCGAGGGGATGCTGAGTTATAGGCCATGGCGCGAGCGGTCTTTTCCAACAAAGCATCTAAGGGTGTTATCAGCTTGATTTCAAGGTAGAATGACAACAGTGCGTCCACGCCAGCGGGGTCCGTCTTCAAATTGCATACCGTAACTCATCATCAGGCGCTCCGTGTCTTCAAGAAGCGTAATTCGCTCAGCGTTTGAGTCCGATCGACTTCTCGCGAGACAAATGTTCCATTTCTCGGCCTCGTCAATCTCCCTGAGCCGGGCATCTTTTACTGCGAGCTGATCTTGCTTCAGGAGGAGGAGACGCATCCGGAGTCTGTGGAATCTCCGGAAGACGGCAAAAGAGTGGTGCGAGGCAACGAGTGCGGACCAACGGGGGTAGCCGGGACGGAAAGATTCGACTTTCATACGCATGGTCTGAGTATCACCTCGAAATACACTATGCGCAGAGACAAACACGTACTGGTACTCTGGTTCGTACGTGACAACTCCCTCTCTGGGCCAAGCCAAGCAAATGCGAGCTTTATCCAGCGATGGATTCCAAGGTCCCAGCATGGTGTGGGTTTAGGCGTTTCGGGCGCCATTTCGATGTCTGGGTTCATCTGGTTGCAGCCGTAGGTAAACCAATAGTAATGCCCTTGTTTACAAGACTTGACGTGGTGAGCGTTGCCTGCTTGAAAAAGAGCCCCTGACGTGTTAGATCCGGAAGTGTGGCTGGCAAGTTCCAAAGCGATGCCGTATCTCTTCCACACCATGTCCATGCTGCAGGTCTTATCAGTATTGGGTTGCATTTCACGACCATGACATGGCGTGGTTCGCCTCCCAATCAACCTAGGCGCAGCGAGGCAGCATCTCCTGGCCAGTTGTCAACCTTCCCGTCCTTGGTGCAGAGAGCGGGGTAGCACCCAATGAAAATATGTATAACAAGGCCTTTGAGTGCGAGGTGGTGTTGAGTATGCCCGGAATTGACACCAAGCTCACTCCCGAGCAACAAAACCAGACCGGCCGGAATCCTAGGCAGCAGAACGTGAATTGAAAACGTGAACTGCAAGAGCCGTGCGAAAGACGCAGTTGTTTCGGCCCCTCAAAGTTACCATGGACCCGTATGATGGGTATGCTATTGACAGGCTTGGATCTCGACCCCATGATGCACTCGCTAACTGCAAGAAATATACTCCTGGCAGACGGCGGAGCCCCGATTTTATTTTCTTTGGAGATGAGGGAAAGAAACCGATCATCACAGAATACGCCAGGGTACGGAGAATTTATTCCACGTGAAATTCGGTCCTCCTGTAAACATGGATGGCTAACAGGCAGGTTCCAGGGAAGCAAATTCCATTCGGGGGACAAGGTTTACCTCCTTTCAGAAGATGGCAGATTCCGTACTGGGGGCCCCTACTACATAGGCGATATGGGCTCGAACTCATCGCTTACCATGTACACGCTCATCTCGGAGGATGGGGGAAAGGTTTTGGACGGTGCTGAGGTTAAAGAGGAGCGCCTGGAGGAATACAAGGGCTAGCCGTCCAAACGCAAGGGTGAGGGTAAAACGGAATCTCGCTAGGTACCGTCAAACAGATATGTGAAATCAACGATACATGCAGGTAGCTACCTCAGTACATGTATGCACTGTGGGCATGCTCGATCAAGAGTGAGGCTTGCTAGCGCTTCCTGTCCGCGGACATCTGCCAGTCAGACACGAGTCCAGGAAACGCGACGGTGACACAAGCCCCCATACCGCCGTCGCAGATGCCATATGGGCATAAATGATTGGTGGTCCATGGGGTCTTCAACATCCCTGCTTACCCGTAGGTACTATGAGGTTGCGTGAGGCAACTGCCTGCGTAATCACAAATAATCGCTCGGTCGCATGGGTAGGCCACTCTGCCATTTCTGTATCATACCTTCTTTTGACCAAGCCAAGGCCGACTTGACACTCTGTGGTGGCACATTGTTGGAGTTCAATCTACTTACCTCTGTGCTTTCATGCCCTGGCGCTCATATCGAATCCCTTAATCACCATGAATCAAGACGATGAACGCCCAAACAATTACGCCATTCTGATTGGCGTCAATGACGATGGGATGCAAGCTTGTGTGCATGACGTTAACATCATGCGAGAAGTTCTTCGTGAACTGCCACTTTCCATCGATTTACGGATTCTGGAAAACAGCTATCCAAAAGCTGTGTCGCTACTTGAGCCGCCGCCGGTGCGGCCTACCCCAGATAACGTCAAGAAAACGCTAGAAAATGTCACGGAAAACGCTATGCCGGGTGGGTTTGTGTACATCCACTTCTCCGGGCACGGCAAAGAGGTTGTCCTAAACGGGACCCCCGGCGGCGACGTCGAGTTAGCTCTTCTCCAAGAGACAAGCGATGAACTGGCCATGCTGAGTGGGAAGGATGTAGCACTTCTGAGCAAGGCGATGGTGGACAAGGGCTTGACCGTTCTACTTGTCTTGGACTGCTGCTTCTCGGGTGCAACCTTGCGCGGCGCCGCCGGCAATAATGCCAATATCGACGACCGATGCAATGAACGGCATTGTCAGGCACCGCTTGGCTACCGTGACGCTACGATGCTGCCGAACTGGATGGTAAACCCAGCCGGGTTTACCATCCTCGCCGCCTGTGGGCCGCACGAGTCAGCTGCAACTTTAGGCCTACCTTCGAAGCAAGCAACCTACAGCGCATTCACGTACTCCCTCTACGAGTCACTTATTGGTGTTAACGCAACGTCAAAAACACTCTCCGAGATTTACGCGAACCTTTGTCTCAGGTTCAAGCGCATGCGCCAGTTGGCCACACAAACCCCGATGTTGTACGGAAACGGCAATATACGCTTCTTTGGCCGGCCAGTGGAGGCAAATGGTGCGACTCCAAGGGCTGCGGCATACTGGCCGTCTGGCGACGATGGCAAAATATCGTTGCAAGTTGGCGAGGTTCACGGGTGCTGTGTCAACGATGAATTCGTCCTAACACCTTACTATGACAGCGTTGCTGCTCGTGAGACTTCAGCACGCGCCGTCACCGTCGGCCCCCTATCTTCGGAGCTGGCAGTTTCCGGCGCCCTAGGCACGAGAGGTAACGAAACCCGATGGACAGTGACGTCAACTACGCGCTTGGCCCTCCAACGCTTCCTTGTTCAAGTCTCCGAGGAGTGTCCCAAGCTGGATGAATGGCGCGATGCCATTAGGAAACAAACGTACCTGAACATCTGGATCGCAAAAGATGGCAATGAATCTGTTGCATTTTTTATTGAGCCGAACACCGAGGGAGGGATCAACATCCTCGACAGTACTAAGAAGCCCGTCCCACGGCTCCCCGTCATGAATGCCCAAGACGTGGAGGGTAATCTGCGCATGGTCGAGCATTTGGTCCGATTCAAGCATGTGGAGGAGCTCACAAACACCTCGGGTTTTGCGTTCCCAAAATATCATGTAGAACTCTGCAGAGGTTCAGACTCGTTCCCCCCAGGATCCCGAAGTCGAAACGCTACACGAAAACCAAGTTGTTATCAGAATCAAGAACTACAGCGACTCGACGTTGTACGCCCAACTCCTCGATCTTGGTCCTCGCTGGCAGGTGCAGCACATTGCGTCCGGCGTTGGCGATGCGATCCCACCCGTCAGATACGGGGGCGGGCTGAAGGAGAGAACAGTCACGATGACGCTCCCAGCCAACTATAGCGCAGGGGTGGACCCATATTATGACATTTTGAAAGTCTTCCTCTCAACCTCTCCAATTGATCTCTCGTTATGGGAGCTACCGGACATTGGGGGAGCAAGGGTGCCAGCGGACTTGAAGCTTGAGAGCCACAGGACCGACCTCCGGGCGGAAAACTGGGCTGCGATGAACTTCTACATCAGAACTGTTCGATCAACTACGAGCGGAAATCAGGTTACTTGTTAGAACCAGAGGCACGGGGGACTCTGGGGATGAATTGATTTCTTCCAGGGTAGAATGGAAAGTCAACAACCCACGCGGAAGAATGATCGGATGGAGGAATGGCCACTTGTTAATTCGTTACGATGCATGATTTACGCGACATCTCAGGGATCATAAATTTTTGATGCGAACAAAAAACGCATTGTTTGGAGCATCTTTGTGTGAAGTGGAGTGGCAACTTGCGTTGAGGACTGATAAACTGCTATGGATCCGCCCGCCAACCTATTGATATGTAACTAAGTAACTAGTTTAGCATTATTTAGATACAAATCCCCTACCCGCGTGAAGTAGGTGTATTGACTTTATCTACCTGACTTCCCATGAGCTGAATGTCAAGGTGCCTGGATGGCAAACTGCTTCTTTGTCGATACAAAAGTAGAAATCTGAACGCCCAAGCTAGGCTACCTCTGTACCCGGCGAGCCTGTGCGTGTGCCTGGAGGAACTCCAGGTTCCTTAGGTCGAAAATGCCATGGCCTGCTCTAAGCACGGGCCAGTTTTTTCTCCATAAAAAAAACCCAAAAAAGGTGTCATTCTAACCTGCACTCTTGGAGACAGAAACCTATTGCCCACCCATCGACCTGTACCTCAACAGGAGGCTCCTTGCCTTCGAGGATCGGGTTAGGATATCAGAGGAGGCGAGGCTAATCCGCCAGACCCCTGCCACAATCGCTGCGATCCTGCGGCGGAGGCGCAGAAGGGGGAGGGGAAGACCTCGGCGGGAGATAGACGATATAGCAACGGCACCAGCGGAAAAAGGCTCAGGAGAATGGAAGAAGAGGTGGGCACAGGAGTGGGCCCCCCTCGAGTCGAGGCCGGAAAAGGAGGAGCTAGAGCCAGGGTCAACCGGCCCAGTACCAAACCACAAGAAACAGCTCGAGAGGTGGATGGAGGAGGCAATGAGAAGGGAGTGGATTGGAAGATGGGAGAGTGAGGTAGCTAGGGTGGTCGCTAGGAACCCGGGGCGGGCCCTCGAACCGGCCGATGCGACCGCGCGGTTCGACGCCTCTATCATGAACCGACACCGGTCGAGGGACCCAGCCTGGGAGCTATCGAAGGCGAAGAGTACTCTCCTAGTGCAAGCGAGGACCGGGAAGATTGGGCTTCGAGGGTTCCTCTTTACTAGGAGGGTCCCCGAGGTAGTAACGCCGGTATGCCGCTGCGGTATGGCGCGCGAGACATTCGAACACCTCGTACTCGAATGCAACGGAGCCGCAGATAAACCTCATCCCTGGCCAGACGACGGCGCAGAGCTACTGGAGTGGCTAGATGACGTGGAGAAGGCTGCCATAGTGGTGGGGTGGGTGCTTGGGCTGGGGAGGCTGAACGAGTTCCGGCTGGCGGTAGAGCTGGAAAATGAGAACAACGAAGAGGCCCGCGGCGGGGCCGAAGCGGAGTAGCAGAAGGGCATCGATGGAACAGAGGTTACGACTCATTTTATCTATTTCGTTACTTTGACCTCGGAAGGTGGGTGAGCCCTTTCGAGGAGATGGATCCACGGGGTAGCGGCAAGGCCGCAGCGGAGGTGCGGAGGTTTTCATCCAGCTTAGGCATGGTTTTTCCTACCGAGTTAATCGCTGAGGGACCGCATGTACTTAGTACCTAGCGTGATAAGAGAAATAATAATAATAATAATAATAACCTGCACTGTCGACTTCTTCTCACTGTAGAATTTTGGTTTTTTTCTCCTTTTCGACTTCTCTCGATAGCATCTCGAATTCTGGCGTCATCTGCATTTTGCTTCCTCTAATTGGCATTTCGCAGTTGGTCTTGGCGGTGGAGGTGCACGGACCGTTGTTGCTTTGTTCTGGCCCAATCAAATCGCTGGAAAAAAGCCGCTTACCCGCACTTTGGCATCAGGGCCCCTGTGACTCGCTGCTTCGCTTGTGCCTTTGCGTGCCTCCGTCGCGCAATCCTCGACAATCACGAACCAAGAAATCGGATTTCTGTTAAAAAGTGGCGAAAATGAGGTGTTCAGGGTCGACACCTATTATGGGTTGACTATTACTACTAGAGCGACGCAACCGCTTCTTCGTCAGCTGCTTCAATGGCCTGCACTGATTCGGCCATGGCGTCCCATTCCTGGAACCACGACTACAGAGAACAACGTCAACATTGCCAAGATTGCCTGGCTCAGCAGGAAGGATACAAGCAAGGCCTACGGCTCGATGGTCGTCTCCGTGACGAAGGGTAGCGAAGCAAATTGCTTCTTTGACGCACAAAATACACGGAACCTATCAGCTCTGTGAGATTACGCCACAGAGGTTAATCTTTACGGGATCTGATTACTGAAGCCCCTAGATGACGATATAGCTTACTGGAGACTCAAGAATGCGGCGTCATACATCGGCGATGAGGTCAAACCGGTGCTAGAGGCCACCTTTTTTACACCGCGGTGCTCCATTTCCCAATCCAAGGAACTCGATACGTTCTTTCCATCCCGGTTTTCTGACCTAAACTACAATCATCTCCTGATACTGTTTATAATTCCATTGCAGTCAAGATGGCTTCTTCTTCCGCCTTTAACAATTACATCGTTGACTCCGCTATGGGGCCTACCTGCAGCCGGCAAGTTCCTCCAGGCTCCTTTGGCGTGCCCGCGCGCAGCGGGCACGGTCACTCCTGTCTGACTCGTCCAGATTTTAACCGCCAACTTAACCGCACCCATTCGATTCGTCCGAACTCACACCATCGAATAATAACCAAATACTTGTACCACAGTCTCCAACAAGGTCCGCTGGCTCAATGGCAGAGCGTCTGACTACGACTCCAAGTTCTGGGACATCCCAGGAGACGATCAAGTAATCAGGAGGTTCCAGGTTCGACCCCTGGGTGGATCGAGAGAACTGGCCACAGGGCCGCAATTTACCTTTTGCAGGGCGTTTCTTTTTGTTCCATGCTTTCTCTACTTTTAAATCCGCCTAGCTGCCTCCGAAAAGCTTTCAAGTAATCACGGGATTCCAAGTTCGACCTAAAAGCGTCGTCGAGGTCCCCTTATTAACTTTGCCCCTTTTTTGACCCCCCTCCCCCGCCCACCGTTTCAACATGATACATGCGTTACATATGGCGCTCAAATTGCGCCCTACAACGCCCTGGGCTCTTTTAAAAGCAATGAAACATCGCCGAGAAATGGGCAATACCTAAAAATTTACGGATGTGGTAATTTACGTCAAACGCGAAAGTTGGGCAGTCCACCGCCAAGGCAACGATTATCCGCTCAAGTTTACCATCATCGAAAACATTGCGAAGTTTTGACCTTGTCTAGCTGGTCATTGCTTTTTACCCAGAGAGAAATATGCTTGTGTTATCTGAGTCTCCTTCAGAGCCAGG